CATGCGTTATTGCCAAAACTGCGCGGTATCTTTTCGCTCGCCTTCTCAGTGAACAAAGTGAATGCGCGTTTCGCTGTCATCATCACGCCTCGACGTTCTTCTCGTGGATGCCATTAAAATGTTCTGCGCTCTCTTATGCATCGTGAATCAGGTTGCCGTCATCGGTGCGACGACGACGATCGAACTGTCGCCAGGTGTGCTTTGACGCGCCCGATAAAGAAATTGATGATGCTTCGCGGTCACTGCACGCGTCGTCGCTGCACATTCCATCGGGACGCTGCGAATTCCACTCTTTCATCGTCGGGACTGTCTAATCCACAATTGTCACACACGTCCGCGTAAATTCATGCTGCGCGAGACCGCCTGTCGACGCGAGCGAGATGCGCTACGTGCTAGCGTCATCTGTGGCGTTCGGTGATGATTTTATCGAAAATACGCGAGACTTATCGGTGCGTTCTTGAGAGATACGAGCATTAGTGAATTAAGTGCAATTAAGTAATTCTAAGAAAACCGGAGATGCGAGATATAAACAAAACATATCGTGAGAATTCGATAGTTTGACTTCCAATACTGAGAGATGAAAATTATTCATTTTTAAAATTTGTCATTTTCGGCCTCAACTATATCTTCTTCTTGGTTTTAACTTCAACAAAAATGGTAATATGCATATAAGGTTATCGTCATTGATATACATACTATACACAGAAAAAAGTATTAGAATCAAATAAATGTATATAATTATTTAACTACTTTTTGGTCTCCTAAATTAATATTTTTACCAATTTACGTACATCTGAATAGCCTGTAGCGAATATTTAGTTAAGCGTAGTAATAATTAATTCCCATAAATTAAGCCATAAATTAATTAATTAATTATTTAATTTCTTAAATGATTTGAATATAAGTGTAAAATGGTCCTAAATTTAAGAGAGTATTTATAGTTTATTAGAATTATGTAATATAATAAAATTAAAATATGTAATAATACTTGTTTTCCAATGAAAAAATCTAGTGTTTATAAATTTTAGATTTTCTTATCCAGTAAATATTTTCTCAAAATAAATTATGATATTCTTAATTTATCGCAATTGTTTTATCAGAAGTAAGTGTCTTGTATGAAGGAAATATCATAATAAGAAGAAGAAAATATTGTCATCATATTATATTTGTTTACTTCCAGTAAATATCAAGAAGATATTGGAATAATTTTACGTAGATTAAGTAAATATTACTTGAACGATAACGCTTTTTTCAATGTAGTAACGTTTATTAGAAAAATGATTCCTTTGGCTATAATTCTTTCACTTATGTGATTACAGTTGAAAATACCAAAAACTTTTTTCTCAGTGAACGTGACACCTACAACGGTGTCTTCGCGTTGCGCCCGAACGATTGTTCTCGTCTTCGCGGTGTTTACGTAATGATACAAACATGAGAAAGTAAGGACTGTACCTTTCGTGTTAGACGCGCAACCATTGACATTCGCAATGTTAGCTGCTGCGCCTTGTTCTAACGAAGTATTGTTTTACATCGCATTGCGCAATCGAAATAGTTCATTACGATTGCTCTCGTGAGAATACATTAGCGACCCACACATTCGATCGGCCAATTAAAAATAAAATCGAGTCATTCGATCATTCCCGTTGTTGCTGTGTCATTTTTCATCTAAGTATGTGGCTGCGCGCGGCGAACACGGATGAGTGAACGTACGTCAGAGTGTTACTATTATTTTGTAAATGAAGAATTGATTTTCGGTCAGTCTTTTTTTAATTTAATTTAGCGATCATTATAAGGGTTGTAGCATAGAAAAATGTGAAAACTAAGATTTAAATAGTGTGAAAATTAATCTTGATTATTTTTCGACCGTAAGGAGAATAATCGATTGTGATCAGTTAATTTCCTCACTGCTTGAATTTTACTTTTTTTGTATACCATGGTCCGAGTCGAAATTTTGACGCTTTCAAGGATAATATGCCCTTACTTAGGCGGCCTACAGACTAATAAAAATCTACTTTGGCGATATTGATATTTTTTAACTTCTCTTTGAACCTTTAATTCTACATATTGAATTTCAACGCTATTTTCATCATCCTATTTTAACACTAAAACAGCGAAAATGGAAATTTAAGACATCATCAGAGTCAAAGTAGAGGTTATATTATTAGAATGGAAATTGAATTTTACTATTTTATTATCTAAGCTCCTACTATATGTTGTAGAATTAAAGGTTTAACATAGGCCCGAAATTTTGACTCGGGAAGCCTGTATATTTTCGAACGACCTCTTTTCGATACCCACCCGCGCATGTTACAAATTTCGGAAAAATCCTCCTTTTTTTTCTCTTGCCGTCTCATTGATAATTTACGATAGGTCAGGATTCAACGAATCTCCCGACACGTGTCACGCAGTCGGAATTCAGGCCGGCGTTATTCTTCGTTCCAGCCGGATTCACGTCGCTCGTGGGTGTACGTTCGAAGGTCCCGTCGCTTTCGGACTCGCAGGATTCTGAAAATTGCGGCGTGTCCCTCAACACGCGTGCAGCAGCGAGCGGCCGTTCCTCCCGGTTCGTAATCCTCTCGTTTCCGTTGCTCGCCGTTCTGCCGCGTATTTTCGACCGTATCTCTTCATCTTGCGAAACTATCGTAATTCAGGATTAAATGCGATGCTCTCAACGGCTCGTATTTCAAGATTCCCTTCGGGCGGCACGCTCCCCCGTCCTTTTAATTCGCGGCGCGACTCGCAGGTGCGAGTCCGATATTCCGGCCGATCGGCATGACTTCTCGCCTTCTTAAACCGGATGAAAAACATGTCGTCGTGTAAGCGTCGCCGATCCTCTCTGAAATTGTCGCACGGCGATTTCCGTGCTTTCTCGAAAAACTCGTGCAGAGCACAAAAGACTGTTTGCGGAGGTCTCGATTCCTCTCAGCGAGACGCCATAAGCAATCGACGGGAAAAATCCTTACGGCGCAATGTCTCCCCCGTATTGCTATTCGATATGCACTTTGTATCCCAGGGTCGCGCCGATAATCGGTCAATATATAAGCGAACCTCTCGGAGGCACTCTCCAAGAGCGCAACTTATTATTCCAGAGGTGAATGCATCTCCGATCGGGGCGTATCTAAATTGCACTCATATGGGGAGATATTTTTGCTCTCTTACCTCCTACGGAGAATATATAAAATAGCCGAATAAATATAAGCCTCTCTATAAACTCGTTCTTCACCCCCCGATTCTCTCACATCCGATAACGTACAGCCTCGAATGTGTGGGCGACGATAAAAAGTGATCGAGTAAAATTATTCGACTGAAAAATTGCGAGTCGCACATTCTCTCTCTCGATGCGGTATTTATAAAGTGCTATGATTGAAATTCCACTCGGATTTGATTAATCAGTATCCTCGGTGTCAAGCCGCAAACACGACAAACTTGTGTACCGAACCGAGCAAAGGAATAACATAGCGGACGAAGCGGTGATTAAAATAAGTACTTCCGCCGATGTTTGCTTCTGCTGCGCGAGAATTAGAGCATCCCGACAAAAACACATCGCAGGTCCGCACGAGCTCAGGATCGATTAAGCCGCGCATGACTTTTGACATCCGTTGTGTGTCCTTAGTGACGGCCGACGCGCTGAAAGCTTACGTAAGCGTGAGGTGGGGAAAAATAAATTGATGACGGAATAAGGACGCGGCTAGCTCGTGCGCGACTCGCGCAAGTCTGATGTCAAAAGCCACATCGACGAGGTCGCTGCTTAACTTGGCCGTCGCATTAAGGATGCTTGGAGTCTCCAGACACGTACGGGGAAACGACCTCGTCGGCCGATATTTGCGAAGCATAGTGGCGAAATAACGACAAGAGCTATCAACGATGACGCAACAGCTTGGAGACGCTCTCGGCGATATCACCGACAAATTAATCGATCGTTATGGTTAATTGTTTAAGCCTCCGTGTGATTCGCTGTTTTTCGCCGACGTCATATGATTCGTGGGTCATTTATGGACGGGAGCCACTTCTCTTGTTACATGTTATAAGTGAAAACAATTCGGAGAAATATTTTTATATTATTTCCGATTCTACTTTCAATTGTAAATGTTGTTTAACTTCCAATGTTTCTGGGTCGTATGGAATAGTCTGTGCGGATTTTCAAGTAAAATTCAAACGAAAGATTTGTTTAATTAAAAATCATTTTAATCCGTAATATATGTTCATTGTCACCAATAGTCTCCCATCTTTCGGATAATTTCATAATTCCCTCTCTTGTCTTGGATTTTTTCGGCGAGGAAGCTGTCCAAATAGTTTTTGAGGTGTTCCAAAGAAACGAAATTACTTATATTATTAAGGGAGTTCTGCAAGGATCGGAATAAGTAATAATCGGAAAGTGCTATATCGGGTGAATATAGTGGCTGAGGCGAAACATCCCAGCCAAACTCCAGTAATTTTTTATGCAAAAGAAACACGTCATGATGGAAAACGATACCCTTCCGATTGACTAATTTCGGATATTTCTCGTCGATTTCTGCCTTTAATTGGTCCGAACAGTATTTTTCCGAATTGATGGATTGGTTGTTTGTTCGTTAATAGCTCATAGTGCACGATTCCCTTCCAATTTTACCAAATGGAGAGCGTGACTTTCTTCGGATGCAAACGAGGCTTCGAAATCATTCATGGCGGTTCATCTCGCTTGACCTTTTTCGCTCGATGTTATTGTTATATGTTATACGAGCTCGTGACGAGAGAAAGAGAGATCTTAATAAATCCACGAGCTTGTTGAGCGCGCGCTGACTGCATTTAACAAACTCCGCGGCCCCAAGCAGTCTCGCGGTCGCGACAGAATCGCCGGTGTGTTGCCTGTGGGAATTCTCGACGCGTCCCACGCACTTGCGAGAAAAAGAGGCACGCAGTTCGTGGCGAAAAAGAGAGTCGAGAGAGGAGAATGGATGGCAGGTTGTCTGTCCGCAGCGGGCTGATCAGTTTCTGTTCGGCTGCGAATGTGAATGCACGCACGCACGCACGCAGGCGAGCGTTATCGTGAATGAAAGAGGGCTGCGACGGATGTCATTGGGGGTGCTTTCGATCATTCAGGCCAAAGTGTCGGGGGGATGCATATTTCATTTTTGAAAGTGGTCTCTGCATACGTCGGCGAACTAACATCACGTCCGCAACGCGTCGCAGTTGCGCTTCGGCAAGCTGCCAGTGTGTGAATGGTTTGTTCGTTGTGAAAAATTCAAGGAGAAGAACATGTAGCCGCACGTAGATTACCCTGACGCGCTCTCGTATTACTCCCGAAAGTGTCGTCGGAGACGATGATCCGATTCCAGAAAAGAGAGAATTATTAGTAGAGTGTAAAATGTTTTATATGCTGTTTAAATTATGCTGGTAGATCGGAAGAATTTCTAGGAAAACACCAAGAAATATGCTTTAAGAATGACACCTGTATTCCAATAATGCCTCAAAACAGCATTTTTATTAAAGTTTAAAAATATTCAGAGAATGCTAAGACATCCATATGTGATTTATGTGATTTATTGTGATTTTGAATCGATTTTAAAACCGATTGAACCAAATATATCCGGAAAATACAATTCCTTGTAGTTATGGATTATATATTAACCTTTTGCACTCGAGGGCTCCGAGCCATTTAAAATTTGTCTTTAAACTCAAATGCAAATAGCAAGAGCGGAATATCCTATACACAATACATAGTTTTTACGATTTGTCTTTGTCCTTATGTTATGAACTGAAAGTTATTTGCATTGTCTCCATAGCGGAGCCCTCAAGTTTGAAGACAAATTTTAAATGGCTCGGAGCCCTCGAGTACAAAGGGTTAAAAGTGCTTATAATAATATTGAAAATTCGTTAGAAAATCATGTACAACAGCAGATAAATGTTTTATAAACCAGATAACTGAACATAGAAAAACAATTTATAAATTATTAAAAGAAAATAAACCTATAACAGATGTAAAATTAAAAGAATTTATCGAATCTAAAGTCTACTATCTTTATGAAAATGAATTTAGCAAGGAGAATCCGGAAATTAGAGAACACGACCACTATACTGGAAATACAGAAGAGCTGCTTGTTGAAATTGTAATTTAAAATATAAACAACCATTGTTTATTCCAATACTGTTCCATAATCTGAGTTCTTACAATTGTCATCTCTTGGTTAAGAATCGTGGAGAGGACAAGAGTAATCTGAAATTGATTCCAGATAACGAAAAAAAATACATTTCATTCAGCAAGATTTTGAGAATGGAAGATAATAGCTTTATAAGAAATTCATTTTTTCAGATGGTTTTTCATTGATTTTTAAGCTGTGGTTTTTGGGTGCGCTAGAAAAAGTAATAAATATTTTTTATCTCAAAATAGTGATTAGAAGATGGTTGTTTTCTTAGTTTTTATACGATTTTTGAGGTGTGTATACCTCGATTTTGATAGTTTTCAAGCGATTTTATTTGCGCCCCAATTAAAGCGCACCAGATATAACATTTTATACTTTACTATTATTCGTCTTGATGGAGTCGCGTGTCAACATTAGTCGCGTCGTGGCAATTTTATATTCTTCTTTTTTATTTCTCACCGTCTTTCCTTCGAATGGGTCTCGTCGCACGCTGCGTACACGCGTGTACGTGGGAAGCGTAATAAAATTGAATAAACGCGTTGCGTCGTAGGGAAATGTGTCCCCGGGTTTTCACACTGCTGCGGTCAGCGTCGCGTCTCCGTTATGAATTCTTCGATTATTCTTGGCTCTCTCATTTCCCTGCCCGTCCCGGCGTGAATATTACGTCGGGCGTGATCTTCCCGACCGCGTTACGGGGAAATATCAGAGTAATTGACATAGACGATAGATCGCGGTCGGTGATGGGATATTGAAAACTACTCCGATCGATAATACGCTCTCGTTACTTTGAAAAATAGATCAACTTCTATTGATACGCGTGCATCTGCCCGAGGGGAAGAACATTCTCCGGTTCGGGACAGATAGAAACGAGCGAATTGAATGGTCGAACTTAGGCAAAATTAGTGCGACAATTAATGAGTGGAATCCAGCGTGTATTCTAGTGAGAGAAAAACTCCGACTTTTTCGTATTTAATCGAGTCGATTAAAAAGCAGAGAAGATTGTGCTGCACGCACACCCAAAATGGTGCCCAACTGATTTTGCGAAACGAATACTCCACGTACGAGTAAATCATATATGGGAAAATGCTGGAGCTCGTGGGACGCAAAGCCAGCGGCATCTCCTGGCCTAGCTGCCGCGCTCAAAATCTCGATACCTTCGGCAAGCATCTCCGGGGAGACGTGTTCCGGAAACGCGCGGACAAGGATTGCATGCGCGAGAAACAATGGAAGCGAGACAGCAAGGGTTTGCTTTGCTCTTTGGGCCAGTTGGGCTGCAACGACTCCTACAGCCCGGACATCCTGGGAACGTGGAAATTTCACAAAGTGTCTCGCGCGAGGTAAAGTCCGGGACGGTCGGGCTCTTTCCGCGTTTCTCATTGTCTTCATTAATTATCCTATTATCTTTTACTCGTTAATATTGTCATTATTAAGTATTCTAGACAATTATATGCGTCATCACACTGAGAGAAGGGAATGGTTAATCTCAGTAAAATTACACTCATTCTTGGCAGCAACTCATTGTTCCGATAAAAAAAATAGTAAGAACATGCGATTATGATTATTATCACCATAGTTGTATTTACTACAAGAATGATTTTCCCGATTATAATTACTTCACTATGCTTTTTCTTCAATGCGATAAGAGCCGTTTTCGTACAAAGTATCGTACACTCAAATCGTCATTATTGTTATAATAACTCTAGTTTCCGGCGAGAAAACGAGCTGCCTTTTCGCGCAAATCAAGACGATCACATTTTCCACGTGTGATCTTTCGTGCATGCGGGCGCTATTTATCTGACGATGCAAAAGCGCAATAGAGAAAGTAATAGTGAAAGGTAAGCTACGTGGGCGACAGTTGCAGGTGCTGCGTGCCGGACGGGTCAGGGCCGAGGGGTGCACCGACCTATCCTCATCTATCCCTTATCGGCAACCCCTTGTTACGGGAAATTCACGTTCTTGATCGGCCGACAACCTTAGAACGTCACAGGAAGCCACGTTCATTCAGAAAGAAATTGTGCAAGAAGACACTAATTGGAAGAACAAATGGTGTCAAAATTAACACGAATTAGTAGTCGAGAGGAAACCGCGCCGGTCTTTGTTTTCCTACGAACTCGGCGAGAAATAATCTCATGCTGCTCTGCAACGTGGTATGGCGTCGTATCAATTATTGATAGACCGCGTAAGTAGTTATTTATACTTGCGCGACTCGTTAGCTGGTGTAACGTCCTTTCTCCGCCCCTCGCGTGTAAATTATACCGCGTGTCCTTTCCGATAATACTGTCGCTGCCGCCACTTTACCACCACCTTCTCCGCGAGATTGTAAACAAACAAGTTCCCCGTTACACACGTGTTGCAATTCGCGGCTTGTAATTACGTCTCACGTTGCGTAGCTCGCGTGCTGCGATTCCCAATTAACGTCGCGAATTCAGACGACCGCGAAGAGAGATTTATGTCGTCTTCTTTTTTCTCTTCTTTTCTATTATGTCCTTCTCGAGAAATCTTCATGAATGTGTCACGATTACTTTCGCGAATTCAGGTGGTCGTGAAAGGAAAGCAACGAATGGATGAACGTCGATTGATCCGCGATTCACGTCCATTTTCTTTCTCTTTTATTCCTTTTTTTATTACAATTCCCGCGCGAAAACCTCTCAAGTATATCTCATGACTTACGATTAATTTCGCGAATTCAGTAAAAAGAGACCAAAACGAGTGGATGAACGTATTGATTGCTGCGCGACTTTTTCGATTTTACGTTCTTCTCTTATTCTTTTTCATTATGATCACCTATTTTTTTCCGAAAAATCCTCGTGAATATATCTCGCGTCTTGCAATTACATTTGTGTATTCAAGTGGTCGTAAAAGGAAACTAGCAAGTGGATGAACGTCGATTGACTCACGTCGTCTTTGATTTTCGTTCCCTTTTTCTCACCGATTTCCCCGCGAGATCCTCACGCTACGGATTGCGCAATAATACGCTGATTTCGTTGAAGCGTGGCGAGTCTCGATCGCTTATATATATCGCAATAATATACCGGTGTACACCCATATTTCTATCCGCGTAATTGCGTCCCGCGATGATTTACGGACACGCCGTGTCGGATTACGGCGCACTCGTAACGCGCGGATCGGTGTAACATTACGCGAAGAACGCGGGTGAACTTTCGCGCATAAATTGGTATCGGCAGCGGCCGGATAGAGCCGGCTCGGACTTTTATGGAAAGTCCGCGATTCGTATCAAAATCCGTTTTACGACGCGTAAACCCGTGTCGGTAATTTTATCTTCAAATCCGATCCACGCCATGCGTAAATACATGCGTAACTCTGCCTGTCGATTTTAACACGCCAGATTTCGAGACCGGCAATAACGATGGCAAAGTAAATTCCGTTGGTATCTGTACAAATTGAAGTACGCACATGTTTTCTACTCTCTTGTTCGTTTTGCACGAAATAGTCAAAGGCACGAAATCTTAACTTTCATACTATTTGTATTGCGGGAGAATTTGATTTTTTTTTGTATTTTTAGCTTGACACGACAATTTTCTGAGACGAATTTACAGGAAGTCGGTGTATGATTGCGCTTTCGCAAGGAACTCGTATGTTGATCGATATAGCCGGTGGTTCCCGGTGTGAGTGCTTCGTCCCTGACCGACGGCATTCCTTAGCCGGACGTCGCTCGTAATATACATTTGCATTAATAGCCGCAATGTGCAAACACACTCCACGCAACGCTCTGTGCCGTTTTGATCGCGAGTCGAAAGTAAAACTATATCACGAGTCTCATCGCGAGAAAGCGCCCCGACCTCCAGAAATTACCTCGTTGTCTGTCGTGGCGCAAAACCGTTTTATCGTTACCGGACAATATGTGTCGATCAGACGGAGAATATAAATACCTTACAAGCTCATAACTCGGATACCACGAAACGTAGCCGATAATTTTTAAATATTTGTTATATTACGTTAGCTAAAAAATTCGGTACAATATTTATAGAGTTCTTTTAATTTCTTCGATTGAGTTCCATCTCAAAAGTGGAGTGACAACCGAGTGACTTTTTATTCATATATCGTCGAGTGGTATTTTTATTCGAAATCGTAAAGTGAATCGGCGCCTGCCTGCTTTGAGCGAAGTGCATTTTTCCTTAGTCTACAATAGATGCTCCAACCCTTAGTCGAATATGAGGAGAATAATCGACTGTCAATTTCTTAAGTCTTAGAGCTTAAATTCTCATTGTAGACCCCGCTTTACAGACAATATGCTAGAGCTCGACTACTGCGAGAAACTGTTCTCTAAAAGAAAATACAAGAGTTATTTTTATTTACAACTATGAAAGATGTTACTAGAATAATGTTATTATTTTTTTTAAGTTATTAAAATTGTGCAACTTCACAGACACGTGTCTCGGTTACCGACGACGGTTCCGACGATATGTCATAATACATAATTGAATGTCATAAAAACTATGGCTGTGAGAACTATATATGAACATGTGCCAACCGGTAATTTTTAACTTGAATAAGAGTTGTAACAATCAACAGTGATTTTCTCCGTGAATTTGAATTCAATTTGACTCAGATTTCGAACTATACTTTTTGACCGAAGCTTCCGTGCAAACCGAAGGGACACAGACATTGATTTTTCTTCTCCCGGGGTTACGTGAACAAATATCCCCTCGCGTCGGACGGCTTAGCGTGGCGGGCCGATATGTAAATGCATGTTGCATACAGAGCGGGAATGCTGCAGCTTGAAAGCTGGGTAAAGGGGTGGAATGGCTTCGTGGGAACCAGGGGAGGATCGCGCGGGTTACTTTCCGAAAAGCTCACTACACAGATCCTATTATTGCATCGGCCGCCGTTACATCGTCCCATACACGGGACAGCTGCCCAGAATGTTACGACGATAAATCTCGCTCGCGCCGAATCTAGGACTCCTCTAACGCGTCGAAATCTCTCTCCGCGATATGTTAATGAGCTCCTCCTCGAATTGGTCAACGTTTGGCTCGATGATTAAGTGGAAACGAGAACGGCTGGCAAAGAACCCCCGATTAACTAGCGGCGACACGAGAAACCGGTTTACAGGCCCTAATTATCGCGCCCGTCCTTCCCAAACGGCGATCGGGCGTCTATGACGTCACCGTGACAATTGTCGATTCGTACAAACAGCGGCTGATCTCTCGACGGTCATTGATTCGTGCGAGCGAATTACCCAGCTGGCAGCTGGCCGGCGTCGTGACTTCACCTGTTCGCGCGATTCGATAACGATGAGATAAAGAAGGACGTCGACTCGCACTTCCGTCGCCACGATGCATCATCGTTCCCGCGACAATTGCGCTGGCCACGATAACGCGCACTGACAGATCTTCTCGACGAACTAATGTGGCCCGGCACACTGCGATGACCATTTGTCGAGATCGCATTTGTCGCGGAACACGCGCGTGTTCAGCGGACTGAAACGCGAATATCGTTCGAGACGAATCGTCCGGGGATCGCTTTAGAATTCACCGCGAAAATGATGTGTTCTTTCTCTCTGGCTGCGTGCGCCACTATATTATGCGCTGGCCAGGAAAGGATCAGGTAAAAAGAGCTCAGAGTTATGTAAATTTAAAGGAAGAGGATCATCAAAAGGCGAAGCACGGTTTGTTTAGCACCATTATACAATAAATGAAGTCACGAAAATATTTAATATGTCCAAATCGGTCTTGTTCGGATTTTCTCAGTGGAAACAATGTGCAGTATATTAGAAAAGAATCGAAACAAATTACATGCGTAATCGATAAAAAATCAGAACGAGAATTGAGAATTCAGTCGAAGTGAGGTGTTCAGCGAATAACACAGCAGTCATAAAAAAAAAGTGTTTATGATTAATGTGTGTGTTTAAACGCGTGTTCGTGATTAGTGTGTGTCATCAAATCAAAAATTATCACGGTAATATATCACGGTGATAGTCCGTGGGTAAATTTTAATGAAATTTTAGAAGAGGCCTTTTGTCTCCTGATAAGGAGAGTCTTATAAACTTTACCTGTTACGCAAATTTGATTATACAAACTGATTCAAATTGCATCAAAATTAGTTTACATCAATAAACTGACGTGGGAATTTAATCAACAGTAAAAGGTTAATGAAATTGAAACGTATGCAGTTGTATATATGATGTAAACGTCCACTTAACTGTATATTAAAAGATAATCTAAATGTATAATTATATGAAAGTATTAAGTGAAGGAGACGATAAATAATGGGGCAACTTTGCGATCGGCTGATTGAACGAAATTTTGAGTTTGGTTTTCACAAACGAGTACCAAAGGAACACGGAAATTTTGCTGAAAATATTCAGGCATGTACAATTCTGAAATTTAGTCTGTTTAATTCGAGTTGTTTCGATTGTCCTCTTTTTATAGTATATGTTTCCTATACTTGAAATAAAGCTAAGTGGTTTATTCATCAGAGAGGAGATGAGACATAAGCGTAGAAAAAGTGTAAAAAAAATATATGTAAGTAAATTACACGAAGAGATACACGAATTAGTTGTCAATGAGTATATTGCAGAGACACATTAACAAATTTTGTATGTATAATCAATTTTATATTTATGAATTTTACACACGTATCTTCTTAGATTATGACTTCCTTCTACCGAGATAACGAATGATTCTGAAATTATCTCTCATATTATCTTAAAACCTCTCTTTTCCCGACACTAAGTGCCTTTTAACTTTTTACTCGTTTCTCCAGTTTTCTGAAAACCATTTAAACATTATCGCGCTTGAAGTCAATATATTTGAGTGAAAAAAGCCGAAAACGCAAGTTCAAATTTAATTTTCCTGCGATTAAGCGATATCAGAGAGAAAGGTTTTCCTCGGTGGAGACACTGATTAGTGAAAAATCTGGTTTGATAAGTCATTGAAGTCGTTTGCTCTGGCTACTTAATTCTAAACTACCATATTTGTGTTGTGTACCAAAGTGCACGTCTCTCTCTGCCCAATCGTCTCATTTTGCGTGAGTGACTCATATTACGTTGCATTTGCGCCCACTAATTGTATTCGGACGTTTATTCTTGTGGAGGACTATAATGGTGGCTGTATTTCACGGTGCTTTTTGTCGTGTCGAGCGGGAATCTTGGTATCATTTCTTAGATTGTCTCTTCACCGTTTCTTGGATATAATAATTCTAGATTTTCACATAACTATATATAACAGCAATATGAATCGTCCGCTACGAATGTAAACTTTATCTAGTGCGTCATCATGTTTCTACCTAGTGAAACTGACAACAATACTATACCGCTTGTAATAGTGATCTGTCAACGGCGGACGATATTTTTTCTGAAGTTTCTACTGTTCTCTACTGCAAATGTCAACTTGCATCAACGCGGATGTCTTAGACTTCCTCATTTGATCAACATGACCGAGTCATCTTTCTTGGAGGCTCTTGCGAAAATTAAGAACGTTTTAACCGCAACTATGCCCAGAGTCTGTGCGATTGGAGCTAAGATGAATGTAATGGAAATTGAAATAAACTCTATCCATTTTTGTCAAAGATTGATTTCATGGGTGGGTGCCAGATTGCATAGTTTGGAGAAGACTTTATCCGTGCTATCTGCTCTACTGATGGTCGGCTCTCCGCCACTGTCGATGAACTTTCAGTTAAGCATAGAGAGCTTTCAACATGTCTATCTGCTGAGGACCGGTTTGGTTGCTTTTTATCAGTTGTATTAATTTGTTTTTTTATTAATTCCCAGAAGTTATTAACTTCCCTCATTGGACCATCGTTCCGAATTGCATCGAAAAAAGTGTTTACTGTTTCGAAATCAAGTGTACTAACACTCAATAAGACATGGCTTCATAAAGGGGATGCTATAGTATCTGTTCTTAATTATAAGCTTACTCGAGATCCGATAGGAGAACTGGATCGTGTGGCCGCAGGGTCGCACTATGAACTGTAGTTCGTTGCCTTTCACATACCAGCAGCCTTTTTGCTGTCTGATATTTTGGATGCCATAACTATATTTCTTCATCGAAAACTTGTCACTTTTTTCCGATTATCGCAAATCGATTATCTGAACTGCTTTTGCTTTTACGTGTTGCTAACATTGTATCTAAGATATGTCATATTATGTCCCGGCGATTTCAATGTAAATATGCGATATGTCGACCTAAATGACACCGGCGTTATATATATATAATATTATGTCGCTCTTCTCATTAAAACCAATTGATTCTCCTATTCGAATTGAATATTAGCTGTTCAGCTGTCGTCTCGCCTTTTGAGTACTACGGCACGTCGACTCGTACTTCAGATTCTTTCGAACGTTTGTTACAATAATTTCAATAACACTCAATAAAGATCGAACAGTAATAATAATAAATTCTTACGACGACCCGTTCGTGCGGTGCGCGTGGTGAGCGAATTCACGGAATAACCGACGCGAGATGATTAACTGTACATCGTCCACTAAGCTAATTGTGTTTCTCTTTTCCCGGTTGCTCAGCTATGAGGGGATGAGCACTGGAGCAGGAGATGGAGGTGGAGGCGGTGTCGGAGGTGTCCAGAGCAGCGGCGGTGGTAGAAACACACCGCCGCACGGCTCACCCACCCCCATGGACAAAGCAACCTTAAAGGTTCATCTCCCCAACGGTGAGTTATCCTGCTACAAAATGGCACTACTAAAGAGCCTTTAAGCGCACTTAAGATGCATCGAATGAGAAAATTAAAAGCCGCAAAACACGCTTCTCGCCGTTTTAGAGAACAATGTAAAGCTTTATAACCGGTGTTGTCTATTTACAATATATTTTCCTTTGTACGTTCTTGTGACTTATCCGCGTCGACTACATACATGAGAGAAAAAATATTTAAAAAAATAAAAAATACTTTTCTGTGGGTATTAATAACATATATTTGCTTAAATCTAATTGTTTTGTTTAAATAATAAATAAAAGATAATTGTTTAGAGAGAATAAACAATTGCCCCCATGCAAAGCTCCAGATTAAAAAAAATGTATGTTCTATTTTCTCCTAAAAAAAATGTTCTCTCAGTGTAAATAAATTAATACCCACCGAATGAATATTTCTTTTTTTCTAAATGTATCAGCAGAATAATAAAATTAGGAAAGTTAAATTAAAGCGAAATTACATAAATAAAATGGTTACGTATAATTTTTATTCCGTATAATTAGTTCCTTTCTCCACGGGATGCTTTGTAAATGTCGATAAAATGAAAAAGAATTTGTAGAGTCTCACTCAATTTAGGTGGCTTCAACGTCGTCAAATTCGGCGATGCGATTGACGTTCGAAGTATCATCTCCCTGGTTACCAGTCGTCTGGCTGTTGGTACCAGACACTATCGGAACCTATACGCGATGAGGCTTCACCATCCCGGATCCGGGGAGAGTTATTGGTTGCATCAGGATACAACGATGTATCAGGTACGTAGTTAGTCGAACCATCGTCCGACTACAGCTATTCGCACAATTTTTACGCACGCGTTGGACTCAGGTGCAGGAGAAATACGAGCAGAAACATCCGCACTGCGAGTGGAGGTACGAGCTCCGAGTGCGTTACCTGCCGCAAAACCTGAACGATCTTTACGAGAAGGACAAGGTCACGTTTTACTACTACTATGATCAGGTACGATTCAATAATCTCGAACAATGTGTCTAATGCGAGCAACTCTCTCGGGAAATCACGACGTAATCAATGATAAATGATTTCCCCTTTTTCTCGCGCAGGTGCGGAACGACTATCTGAATCACGCCGCTTTGGATCATGACGTCGCGGTTCAGCTGTGCTGCCTGGAGATTCGCTATTTCTTCAAGGACATGCCGCAAATTGCACTGGACAAGAAGAGCAATTTGGAATACCTGGAACGTGAGGTAGAGTAGTAGAGTTTGCTGAGTGGCGCGACGTACCCTTTCGTTACACGCGAGTGAGACGATTAAACGGCGCGACGTATTAGAAGAGAGGAATGTGTTTCTTCCCCGCAGGTCGGCATGCATAAATTCTTACCGCGTTCCGTGCTGAACGGGATGAAGCCGAAAGCCCTCCGGAAACTGATACAGCAGCATTTCAAGAAGGTCGCGGCGTTATCCGAGCTCGAGTGCATGTTCAAATTCTTCGACCTGCTGCGGGCGTATTACCGATTCGATCAGGAAAGGTTCATATGCGCCTTAGGGGTAAGTGTGTATACGTTTCTCCAGATATTACAGATGATAAATACGCGTTTACATATATATGCGAGAGTTTCATTATACCCGTCTCACTTCTTCTGTCCAGTCAAGCTGGTCAATACCCGTGGAACTAGTCATCGGACCGGACTTAGGCATATCTTACATGGCTCATCGAGGTGGGACAGTGGTACGTTCACTAATCACATGCCGATCCTCGCGGCCATCGTACAGTTTCTCGGAACGGAATTTCTTGTTGCAGCCGACCAGAATAGCGGAATTCTCGCAAATACAATCTATCCAAACGTTGGTCTCGGACTGCAAGGAGCACGCTAAGGCGTGCATTAAACTGAGAGTCGCGGGAAACCCGGAGACTCTTAGCATCACTTGCTCCAGCCTGGATCAGGCGGAGAGTCTCGCGGATTTGATCGACGGATATTGCAGACTGGTCACTGGTAGCAACACTTCGCTGTGGAATAGGAAAGGTAAGAAGAAATCATTACTCTGCGTGAACTAATAAGTTTTGTCTCCGACTTTTTTACTCTTATAAAGACACACGAATCATGTATTTCAATTATTCGTGAGAGAAAAAGTTCCGTTGAATTTACCTGTCCGTGAACAAGCCAAACGCGTTTTGAAAGAAACGGAATTTCTGCTCACAAAAACCGAATTTGTTTCATAGGAACGAGAAATTCCGTTTCCTTCAACCAAATGACAAGTTTGGTTCGTTTCATGTTAGGTAAATTCAAGCTTCTTTCCATTCTTCATGATTAATATTTGGCTAACACATTATCGAAATATATTAAGTGCTTTTATTTTGTACTCGCAAGCTGGGTCGTGGAAGAATTATCCCTGTCCATGCAAAGGTAAAGAAACGAAGGACGTCGTTTTGTGCTCAAACATCTCATCCATGATATTATTTTTTAATTGATTCTCAATTGAAATGTAATTTTTTTCACTGTAGACGCGCATCCGCCGAAATACAGACAAGATGGTGCCAGCAGTCCCGAAAAGAACGCCGGTAAAACTGGAACCATATTGTCAGAAGATTACGCGGAAATCGTCGATGAGGAAGGAGATTATTCGACACCAGCCAGTAAGTACATGTGTCTCGAACATACTCAAATAAATATTCCTTGTATCTTTGCATTTCTTTTGTGGATACGCGAAGAATATTTCAGTTTCTATACCTTCCTTACAGCTCGGGACTACGAGATAGTGCGAAATCAGGTAGAACTAGGTGAAATTATAGGAGAGGGTCAATTTGGTAACGTCCATAAGGGTTCGTACAAGGGAAGAGACGGCCAAACTATCGCCGTCGCTGTAAAAACGTGCAAGGTTGACGCCACGGCTGAGAAATTTCTCGAGGAAGCTTGTGAGTAAACCATATTTGTTAATGTTGATAAATCATATTTGTTAATGTTAAATATAAGTAGGGTTAGGTAAGTTAATTTTTATTTTTAATTAAGTTAAATTAAAGTTAATGACCTATAGCATTAACTTAAATAAGTTAAAAGTTAATTATGCAAAACCATGTATATATATATATTCTTTGTTTAATCTTAATTTTTTTTTTCATCGTAAATTAAATTTATGCCAAATAAAGAAAAAGTCTGTTATAAGAAAGTGCCGATTGCTTTATACTCAAGATTCCATACGAAAAAAGAACACTAACGTTCAAAGAGACAACAAATTTTATTAGTATTATTTTTCTTATTTTATATTGTAAGCAGCCCGTAATGATTTTAATATTGATGAATTATTTCAACTTACGTAAAGAAAGTTAATAAATTAAAGTTAATCCATTTTGGGCTGAAAAAATATTAAGGTCCGTGACATCCAAGTACTGTTTTAGGATAATTGGAATCCAAGGAGCATAAACATCCTAAAATCAGAATTTTTTACATTCTCCGGAAAATAGTTGGAACATCTATCTTGAGTGACACCTGACCGATGAATCATATCATAACGGGAATCGTCATTTTCAATGATTTGAATTTTTGGCAACAATATCTTAACATTGTTTTATTCCATTTTTTATTTTTTTAATTAATTAACTAAAAAAGTGTGTTTTGCATTATTTCCCATCTATCGCCAAGAAAGGGGGGGGGGGATGAAAGATGGTAGTAAGGTGACATTATTTTTTGTCATACTAAAGTACAAACTGTGTTTCAATAATAAAATTTAGGCCCGAATTTACTTTTATCGGAGAAAAACATGTTTCAAAATAGATAAATTTTCTGTTCCTACGTAGGAACAGAGGAATGAAATTGATCAATGCGTTTTAAATAAACTAATTTAAGTTAGAAGTCAAGTTATTTAAAACCAGCGAAGTTAAAAGTTACTAACTTAATTTGAAGTAATTGCTATCCAATCCTGGATATAAGAAACGTTTTGTTACATTCTTGATAGTGAGTTATTGAGGTGAATAATATTATTTCAGATATCATGCAGCAATTCGAGCATCCGCACATCATCAGACTAATCGGGATCTGTTCAGAGGCGCCGATCTGGCTCGTGATGGAGCTGGCTAAGCTCGGGGAGATGCGCGCTTATCTGCAATCCAACAAACACCGTCTTGATCTCGCCACTCTTCTATTGTATACCTTCCAATTAAGCACTGCCCTGTCGTACCTCGAAAGCAAGAAGTTCGTGCACAGGTATACCCGCGACGAATGAAAGTCCGCATGTTAATTCCATAGTTCGCGTTGCAGCCTCTAATAATTCTCGATCTCACTGCAGAGACATCGCTGCGAGAAACGTGCTGGTCTCGTCGCACAGTTGCGTCAAGCTGGCGGATTTCGGCCTCAGTAGATGGGTGGAAGACCAGAGTTATTATACCGCCAGCAAATGCAAACTGCCAATTAAGTGGATGGCGCCGGAAAGCATAAATTTCCGAAGATTCACAACTTCGTCCGATGTTTGGATGTTCGGTCAGCCGAAATCTAGTATACTTTGTAAGAAGAACGAATTCCGCCTTATTTTGATGCTCTCGCTCGTTGTTGCAGGTGTGTGTATGTGGGAGATTCTGATGTTAGGCGTGAAACCATTTCAAGGAGTGAAAAATAACGAGGTGATCCGCAAGCTGGAAAACGGAGAGAGGCTTGCGCTACCTAATCACTGCCCACCGAGATTATATTCCCTGATGTCTCAATGCTGGAGCTATGAACCCAGTAAGAGACCGACTTTCAAGGAGATCAGGGAAACTTTACAGTGAGTATTTCGATCGTTCAATTGTATATGTTGGATAGTAAAAAGAGATTGACATATTTGAATATATTACAGTGAGATTTTGCTAGAAGAGAAGCATCAGCAGCAGGAGACAATGCGACGCGAGAACAGGAGAGTACAAGCCATGTCTTGGGGTACGTAGGAAACGTATATTGCAAATTTCTGAACCTTCAGAGTGGTAGGCACTTTTGTCGAGAAAATAGATATTCAGCGGTACGTGTGATGACGCAGGTGCCGACGACGTGCCGCCGCCGAAACCGTCGCGGCAACCGCAGAACGCTACGGAACAGTCGCAGCTGATCGCCGCGGCGCCGGTCTCCACGTATATCGTCGCGCAGAGCCCGGAGGTTCTCGCGCAACTGCTCAAGGACAACCAGGCGAGAGGGGTATGTCCCTCCGTGTACACGACACCCGCGTCCCCTTTCAACACCCTGGCGGTGCAGTTTCAGGACGAGGATCAAGTCCTGACCACCGCGGTCGTCTCCGACCTGCCTTTCTTCGACCCCGCGCTCTCCGAACCACCGTCCGTCACGCACGACACCCAGTCGGGCGATTCTACCCTGTCCGACACGAACCTAGACTCCCTCGACTCCGCGGACAACGCTCCCCTCATGTCGAGCCTGAGCATTACGGAGCAGACGGCGCAGACGTCGCCCGCCGCCAACCGAAAGCAGCCGAAGGTTAAAGAGATGCAAAACTTGTATGCGGTTAGCTCAAAGGTGGCTGTCACGGGGGAGTGCCTGTACTCCCCCGTGCAGAAATTCCCCTCCAACAGCGTGGCCGAGATATACGGCCCGGTCGCTAGTTTCACCCAGAGCTCGGCTATCGTTGGTAATCTCAGTCAGAGCGCTAGCGTAGGTGGTAATTACGGCGAAAACTTCGGTCCCGGTAGTTTGGGTGTTGTCATACCGAGTAGCGGTCAGTTCGTCGTCGGTAACCTCGCGGCTACTAACAGCGGTCAGTCCACGAGTCAGAATGCGAGCGGCGTGCAGCAGAGTGTTAGCAGCAGCAGCAGCAGTGGTGGTGGTGGTGGTGGTGGTGGTGGTGGTGGCGGCGGCGGCGGCGGCGGCGGCGGCGGCGGCGGCGGTGCTTGCGGTGGTGGTGGTAACGCCGTTTATCCCCGTAGCAGCTCGGAATGTTTGTACGGTCCGGTTCTCAAGTTCCGCGCCCAGCCGGAGTTGAAGCCCGTCAACGCCCTGGTCTACAGTCCCACGCCGGCGGCGTATCCGCATCAGCAGATCTACTCGAACATCGGCCAGCAGGCCGTGTACCTGCCGCAGAATGTCGCGCGGCCGGTGTCGTACGCGGTGATACAGCACACGAATCAGCAGCCGTCCCACTCGGCCAGTCCCAATCCGATCTACACAGCTCACGCGACGTCCGTGTCGCAGGCGCAGAAGATGCCGAATTACGGCCAGCCGGCGAGCCTCCCTTCGCACTTCGCGACGCCGTCCGGCTACGTCGTGGACCAACCGAGCTCCCTCGGTCCGATCGACCAAATGCATGCGAGCGCCAAGGCAAAGTTCGTGGCGCAAAAGCAAGACGAGCAGTTGACGAGCTCGACGGACGGCACGCTCTCCGGATCACTGATCTCGTCCGCTGTCAGCGATAGCACCGTGTCGTCTAGCAGCTCGATGACAGAGGAGGCACAACAAGATCAGGTTTGACCATGCCGAACGAAAACAAAAGAACTTTCTTTTTCCTTCTTTCTCTAATCCGGCCGTCAACGATGTATGCGAGTGTTACCTTCTCGCGGAAGGAGAACAGCAGCGAGGAGATCTTGACGTCGTTTAGCGGGCTGACACTTGCATGAAGAATGGATGCCACTATGAGTTGCCACAGTAATATTCATTTAATAAGCTGCATGTAGCGAGAATGCACTGCAACGCACCTCTCTGTTCTGACTTTATTTTGCATCTCAAGGAATATGCATCTCTTTAATTTTTACTGTACATAGGTGTATATAAGAGCAATTGTAATATAAAACGTCGTTTCCCCAATTTCGTAACATCAGCGAGGCGAACCGTAACGTTACGTTGTCTCCGCTGTTTCAGAGAAACGTACATTCGCAGCTGTTCGACAATCCGACTGACAATTTCAACAGCGGTGTTGACGACGAGCAGAAGCTGTTGGAGCAACGGCTGCTAGAGCAGCAACGACAGTCCGAAGAGGACAGCCGTTGGCTGGCGAGGGAAGAGGTACGTACGTTGTTGAACAACTCCGGTTTCGACTACCGTTTCCTTCCTCATTTTTGCAGAAACGCCTGTCGATCGCGACGAGTGGTGATGAAAGTGCTAGTCCTCCGGTTCCACGGTCAGTTACTCAGTCACCGAGCCATGAACCGCCGCACTCCGCTAACACTGGCTCTCTCGGTTCGGACAAAGGTTCCGATAAAGTGATCATAGTGAAGGTAAAATTTCGGCAACATGTGTCTGTGTGTGTGGATCTACTGATCGATTCTTTTCTCTCCCCAGAAAATGGAACCCACACCCACTGCAGATTTAGACAGAACCAACGATAAAGTATACGACTGCACGACAAGCGTCGTTCGTGCGGTCATGTCATTATCACAAGGTGAGAACGCGATCCGTAATTATTGGTCCGCTCTTTTAAACTCAACTGACTGCACTGGTTTGTGCCTACACATTGAAGCGTCGTACGAAGTGTGTGTGTGTGTGACATTCTCACGCTTCGGTGTGAGTAAAACCTACAGTACAGCCGGTTCGGCTGAAAAGAACAGACAAAAATGCTGACGAAATGTCGCATGTACCATTTTATGCAGCAAAAGATATCTGAATTGCAGGTGTTCAACAGAGCAAGGCTGATCAGTATTTAGAATTAGTACGTAGAGTAGGTATCGAATTGAGAGCACTGCTGTCTTCTGTGGACGCTCTCGTAGAAATATTGCCAATATCCGCGCACCGCGAAGTAGAGATGGCGCACAAAGTATTAAGTAAGGACATGGCGGAGCTTGTCAACGCCATGAAGGAGGCGCAAAACTATAGTGCCACTACATTAGACGCCGAATGTCGGAAGTAACTCTCTCTCTCTCTCTTTACGATTATCCGTACGGATTGCGAGATAGCTTGAAAAATTCATCGTGATCTTTCAGGGGAATGCTTTCTGCAGCTCATATCTTAGCGATGGACGCGAAGAATCTCTTAGACGTGATCGATTCCATCCGCATTCGTTATCCGTACGTGGACAGTCAGATATGCCAGAGACAGAGCGACATCGTTAACATGACACGGGAGTCCACGCCCGAGAATCGCATCCGCTCGAGTCAGTCCGGCGAGCAATTTCTGAGGAGGAGTCAATCGAGCGAACGACAAGCCGTGCCGACTTTTCGGCAAAGCCAAAGCGGTGACCTATTGCACAGAATGGGTCAGTCCGTGGACCGATCTTCGCCGGTAAGATGAATCTCTCTCTCGTTGTTGTCATTCATTCCTCGTGATTTTGTCGACTGCGTTGCATCGACACATCATACTTGTATAACTGGATTCTTCGTAGTTGGAGAAATTTAATATAACTTTTAAAAGCTTATAAGAGAGAGAAGAATATAAAGTTTGCGTTGCAGGGAAGTCAGTCCGATGTCAATTCCTCCGGCAGCAGCTTAGAAAGAAGGCATAACATAGTGACCAATAGCCTCGAGCGTAATTCGACCGCGAGGAGACAGATAGCCACCAATAGTTTAGAAAGAAAGAGACCGTCACTGACGTGCAATGTGGGGCCTATGAATAATTCCGTTAATCTACCGCCGATGGTCCCGGTCACTTGCAATCTAGTGCAGACCGCGAGTCCCGTCATACATCCGAGCCAGTCGGTCACAACGGGCGTCAGCAGCCAACAGACGGTATTTGCGACCAACAGCAAAGCTACGAACAAGACTCCGATAAATGACAGCTAACAACGAGGTGCCTTGAATTGAGGTAAATCGCGATACGACCGCAACGCGCGAACGATGAAGCAATTGTCAAACGTACTGATTCCAGGACTACTTCGGATCATTCGCTTCGTATGTATATAAATAGACAGCATCCTACCAAGTTACCCGTGTACACATCTACACGCAAAATACTTCAACAACTGGAGATCATCTAGTATTTGTGCTTCTTCTTAGCTCTTTTTAACATTTAAATATGCAGACAACTTGCATATAAGCGCGTACTTATAGATAGGACAGTATTCATTACTTGTAGCAGTAGGAGGTTTTTCATTAGAGAATTTAAGTCACAGCTATAATAAAATCACAACTCCAAAGCTCTAGGATTATCGTTATATGGTAACTACGTGTACGAGGTGACGCAAAGATCATTTTAGTAGATACGCGATACTCATTCGGTTATTAGCGTTAATGTTATCGTCTAAATTTATTTTACCATTCGCATTAGTATCTAGTAAAGTTAAATTCACGCTTAAAAGAAGACTTTTTCGTTTAATTTGTGTCATCTCGTAGTCGGTTGACTACATATACTCGGTTTCAAAGTGGTTTTGAACACTCTTTTCTTTCAATGCAGCTCGAAACGTAGCCGACCCGTAGTTCAATTTCCGGGAACTAATGAAAAAAACAAACATCGAGCCATCGGCTACGTTTCAAACTTTGATTGAAAAGAAAGTGTTCGTGTTGAAACCAAGTGTACATACATGCAAACGTATTTTAGGACGTGCGTATGTGTATATGTTTATAAATATATATTTAAACGATTCTCTCTTCAATATATTACGCGAGAATATAATTTCTTGTAGGAATGTAATCTTACAACGTTGTTTTTAATACGAATTCGTAATTTCATAGTCTATTTCCTACGTATAGGAGTACTATGGGGAGTGATTATAAAATGTAAAAAGAAGGGGGCGAACTGAATGTTACTTCTATTAGATAATTATTTAATGATTCGTACCATTTTGCGACATTTATACAAAATATTTTATAAAAGGCAAAAAACCATTTTTCAGCAGCGAGTCAGTTCCTACGAGACTACGATATTTTTAGGAAGTTCCATCTTTACATAAGAATATCACTGATAGCTCATCAATGCAGTTTGCAGCGATACACACTGCGCATCTGTGAAATCCGCGTTCGGATATTCTAAAGACGAAAGAAGAAATATCCCATTTTGTGCATTCATTCTTCTTTTTTGTGTTTTTGGGGAAGCTCAGTTTCTCTCACCTACAAGGAATGTTCAGATCTCGAAATATTACATCGACACATTTTGTATCGTTATAATTGGCGCGAGCGCGAAATCCTGTAGTTCGTGAAATTCAATATACTAAATGGTATGTGTGTGGCTTTAAAGATTCATGTGCCAAGGCGTATGTTTGTATGCTCGAAAGGGAAAAGAATATAACGTTTGCGTTGTAAATTACGTTGAATTAGAAATGTGAAACAGTTTTATCTCAAGAATTCATAATCAGTATTTACAATTATTGACGGCATTTTCTTGCCAAAAGCATAAGTCGCTTCTTTAGTTTATGTTGCGAAAGAACATATAGAAACGATATTTATTATATTATATTTGAGAGAAACGATATGTTAGCAATCAAGCCAATTTAACTAATGCATTTTGTAAAGTAACGACATTGTATAAACATTTTCTACAGCAGTCTTCTTATCACTATTATTCCATATACTGAATTATACTACTCACTGTTACGAGTATTTCTCTTTCAGGTTTGCAAGACACACTATACAATTTATTTAATTATTATTATTATATAAATCATAAATTCACATTTAAATTGGATTCTCAAATTTTATTGTAGAAAAATATTTATTTATGTAGACAATTCTCTTTTGTATGTGTACTTTCCTAAGATTTTCCCACACATATAAACGAAAGAGATTATTATTTGACACGTAATAACTTATAATGAGATTGCATCCAATTTAAGAATGATCCAGGATCATTCAACTCACTGTATTTCCGAGAAATATGTTATATTCGATTGTATAACTATCGATAATGTCAGATGCATTAATGAAAAATTTTACTTGAGCAATAGTAAGATGCTTCTATGATAAAACGACAATTTCATAGTCAATGGGATGACACAAGAGTTGTTGGCCATTGAAATTGATAATTATTCTCTAATATAACATTATGGTCTTTTAAACGGTGAGATAACAACAACAATGTATCACCGATAATGTCGCTGTTATGTCAGTTAAGCAAGAGACGATAAAAATAAATCACACATGTAATCTCATTTCTCATCTTAAAAATATTTATAAATTGTGTAAATGTAACTATGTATCATGATCACAAGCAAAATAAACTGCGCGTATGATTTCAACATTTTTGAGGTGTTGTACATTACCTATTGTTCTGGTGTTAACATAAGTAATCGACAACACATGTGTATATATTAGGTACTTAGGTATTAAAAATAATAAATTGCGTATCAAAAATGTAATTGCTAAAATAGAGAAATCACTTGCCGTGTTTCGACCCGTAATATTTTATACCGTTTCTCGTGGAATATCTGGCGTATTTCGTTAGGAGTGCATTTGCATTCATTGTACCTCTTGTAAAACGCCTAAAAAATTACATAAGATTATGATTACATGAGAGGGAAAAGAATTTGTAATTTTCTACATACGTAATGTAAGGCGTTATTTCTTCGGGAGTCCATTTGGCCTTGATTTGGAAAAGTTCCTTAAACCTATCATGGATATTGTTCGGCAAATCCGTCTCCAGACAAGATACAACTTCCTTCTGCGTCTTTATGGCGTTGTATGTTATAAGAGCCAATCCACGTAAATACTCTTCTTTCGGCTGCATCTCTAGACACAGCATAAATAAAACAAATTATAAGTATCGGAAATGAAGAAATTTTTTTTTCTCGCAAACAAAATAGGTCTAAAAGTTCACTAATATTACACACTTTCGGGAGTCCCATCTTTCCATATCTCCATAAATTCTCTGTATTCAGTGACAGGAGAAGCGGCAAGAAGGATCTTTGCTATCATGGCGCAGCATTTCTTTTCGTCATATCTGTAATGTTACATGTTTAACAACATGGAAATCTTTACTCCAAGTTCATCAGCTTCTCTTTCATCGTTATAAAATGTCTTAATAACATACACACTTGTACAATGGGCTACCATCAGCTTTTGTCTCTGTACTCAGCTCTGTATACCTTTCAAATATAGCGTTAAACACTGGCTCGTGAATAAGTTCCTTCAAACATTCATAAGTATTTTCTTTATCTATCTCATCGAGTTCCCAAGATTGTTCTGCAAAATAATCGAACATCAAATTTATACTTCTTCCTTCTACATCGAACGATATAAGACGTAAATATCCTGTGAAAAAAAAATCCAAAGATTAGTTAGATAGCATTGTCCAAATTAATAAGATAGTTTAGTGCAAAAATAAATGCGACACTCATAAATAGCTCACCGTCTATATCAGCTACTAAGAAATCCTCTAAAGCTTGCTTTAATTCATAATCACTGGCTTGTATTTCACTCCGTAATCTTTCCCAGCTGTACAAAGTCTCTGGATCTATAACAGATTCATATTCCAATCCATTAAAGGATGACGGTGTAAGAAGAGTGGACAAATTTGCTAAATTAGGTCTGGTTTCCTTTACCTATAATATGCAAATTAGATATTTGTACGAACTCTGTTGTACAACCATTTTATTCAAAAAATTACTGAATGTTTCTAAATACCTCGTAATATGAGGAAAATATTTTCCTGATATTTTTTCTATCTATAGTTCTATCAGTTATTTCTTCTGTACATGTTGCTTCGTTCAGTTTCAAGTTGGGTACCAACAACCATGAATTGGATATTTCAGCCTCTTTGATTTCATAAGACCGGTTTTTTGTACATAACATAGCCTCATCACCTTTATTGCCGCGAAACGATACTCTATTATCATAGAATTATTTACAATCACTTTACGTTATAGAATAAGAACTATATTCTTCTAACTCTAGTTCAGCACACTTATTTTGGGGTCTTTAATTCGCCACACTCCGGTGCTTTGTCGCCTTATCATTTCCATTCTAATTGATATTTTTAAGTTTACAATATAGGAATTGGAAGTACAGAGTCTAAAGGTGTATTTCGAATTTCTTTGCCAGTACTAAACATCTATAGTTTATGTTATGTATGTAAAAATCGACATTTGAACACTTGAATTGTTCTTTTAAAAAAATACATGACCAAACATTTCGATATGAATTTAAGTAAATTTTCAAGTGGTTTTGCAAATGCAATTTAAGAAAAAGTAACGTTTGTTCATTGTAGTGGGTACCTGATATATATTTTAAGAAAAAATAATAATATTTTATGTGAAAATTAAAAAAACTGAAAAACACTCAGCGGTCTACTGGGTCGGAGTATGTGGAGTTAGGGGTTAATGTATCAAAAAAAGATTTCAGAAAAGGACTTATCATAAAACTTGAGTAACAATCATGAACATATCTGTAAAACAACATACGTGTCTCTTTCGTCGAATGCTTCCAGGATGTGCTTGTCCACTTCTAATAACATCAAATTATCAATTTTGTGATCTTGCATATTAAGATATAGACATTGTGTCAAAGGATTTAATTCAGACTTTTTGATTGTAGCTAAATCCAAAACTAAGGAAACGTCTTCTTTCGTGCGGATATCCCTTAATAAAAACAGAAATTTGTATTTTTCATATTATTTTTTATACTACTTTTTATTATATATACATAATTATAAATGAAATATAATTATAGATAAACTGTAAATATAAATTACTTAGGATAACTCTTTTCTGATGCTTGTTTACCTTTCATCAGTAGGTTCTGTTGACATACATTTCTGTTGTTGTTCGTCCATTATCTGCTGCTTATTGATATTGTAAAATTTTGCTAACGAAAAATAAAAGATTTGTCTCAGGCCGGAAGTACACAGAAAAATTTAAGGATATCTGTGCATAGCATCTATATAATACATTAGACACAGGCCTAACCCTAATAGACCCTGTCCTCGTATATGTAATACTACCAATGTTGCCAACTTAGGTTATTTTCCGTCATTTCTAGCTTTTTTGAATGTTACTTAGTGTGCAAAAATCGTGATTTAGCTGCTAACATATTTTTTGGATTTTTTAAAAATCGAAACAGCGGAATTTTATCTCCAAAATAAGATGACTGTTTTTAGAACATTTTTTTTATTTGGTATTATTATAGATAAGATTTATTATTATTGAAGATATTTAATATTAAAACTTATACACATGAAGTCCCATAAATATAATGTAAAACATTCTGTATGAATTAAAAAATTAAATCAAACGCTTTCGAAACGTTGGATTGTGAACTGCGAGTAATTGGCTTTTAAGGACTCGCTAACTAATAAAAGGAGAAAAGAGAATAAAAAAAATGGAGAAAGAAAGGAAAAGTACACTACGGTGTTTAGGTTGAGGTTAGGATGCATTAGGTCTGTTGTGTTGTTTGCTGTTGATATTTTACGCCCGCTGCACACCGGATGTAATAAACAACATCCAATGAGAGTTCTTCTTTCTAGAGAGAAGCTAGCGTACAACAGGCGTTAAACCTGTATTGGACTACGGATTGGGGATTGAGATTGAATTAAATTTAATGAATTAGTTTAAAGTTAACTGAACTCAATTTGCATTGGTTGGTCAAATTTCAATTCAATCTCTAATCCGTGGTCTGATACGGGCCTAATGTCTTCTGCCCACAGGCAACGCTCGTCGCGTGGCGGAAGTTCGCACAGTAGCCAATCAACATGCCGTTCTTAGGTCTGTTCGTTTTCGCTGCACCGCTGAACTCATGGAAAAAGTTATAGCGAGACAAGTATACGTTTTCTCACTTCAACTTATTGCACTAATTCAGCGGTGCAGCGAAAACGAACAGACCTCTTTGGTAAGAACTGGAAGTTTATTAGTTACTGCGTGAACTTCGCCGCATAATAAGCGTTCTCGCGTTCTGTGGACAGAATCCATAAAGCGGACGAAACTGTTACCGTTGTAGACGTGCACGTGCTGGAATTTATATTTGCTTGGCATCGTTGACAAATTGCAAGGTGTTTAACACTAATGAATAGCTATTAAAATTTACTCGTGAAGAAGAAATTTTGCTATATTTGAAAGTTATTGAACTTTGCAATATATAATACATTAGTTTTTGTATATTTTCATTATATATTATACTATCGTACTTTGGTAATTTTTTGTTAAAAATTGCAAAAGAATAAAATATAAAATGGGCTTGACTAGACAGTATCTAAGATATGTTCCGGCGGGTAATGCAAACATAATTGCAAGCCCTCGATGCAACGTTGTTTTTGTAACGTTAGAAGGTCAAGAAGGAAGATTTGTAGCTAGTGCAGCATGTGAGCATGTATTTATCTGGGACCTACGACTTGGTGAGAAGGTAACTAAAAAAAAATTGAACAAATTTAGTAATTCACTATCCTTATATTATTATACACAATAATTGCAGGTACAAGTACTGTCAGGTGAAAAAGTGGATGTGACATACTTAGCTGCATCACCTAACAAAAGGCACATTGCAGTTGGTTATGCAGATGGTGCAGTAAAAATCTTTGATTTAAATTCCGTTGAAAATATCAGTATATTTATAGGCCATAAATCTGCAATTACAACATTAGCATATGATGCTTTTGGACATAAATTAGCCAGTGGTTCTAAGGTAATGTTCTTTTTTTACAGCTGTGTGTGAACAATTGTAAGTTTCCTATAACATATTTCTTAATATAATAGGATACAGATATCATCATTTGGGATATTGTTGCGGAAACTGGAATATGTCGATTGACTGGACACAAAAATGTTATAACCAAATTGGTATTTATGAAAGAACATAATATTCTCATTAGTTCCAGCAAAGATACATATGTGAAATTTTGGGATATAGACACAGAACACAATTTCAAAACTCTTGTCGGACATAAATCAGAAGTAAGTTATTCGATCATATCTTTATATGTATTTGTTAATTACATTACATCTGGTCAAACAAAATATGGATCGTAATGTTTTTATGTAGGTTTGGAGTCTTGCATTAATGAAAGATGACAAATATTTAGTAACAGGTTCTAATGATACTGAACTGCGTGTTTGGAAAATAACTGCTGTTGATAATAAAAATACTGAATTCAATACTGCTACAGATGTTATAGATCTGAATGAGGAGAGTATAGATACAGACATGGTATGTATATATATTTATACTTTCTATAAGTATATACACAAAGTTTATGGTGTAAGTAACTATATGATATTAAAATATATAATTTATGTAATAAACACGCAATGCATTTGTTGCTGCGTTCTTGTAGAAATATCCTATCAGATGTGAAAAAGCTGGGAGCATATTGAGAGCTGGATACGGTCGAGTCGTTTCATTGGAAGTTGACTCTACATGCAATGTTATTGGATGTCATGGGGTGGGGAATACCGTAGAATTGTTTCACCTACTATCCGACGATAAAGTAAAGAATAAATTTGCAAAAAGATTAAAAAAGGAAAGAATAAAGGCTCAGAAGTGAGTTAAAATTATCGACAAATTTTGGTGAAAACTTTTTATAAATACTTAAATACACAATGTGTTAATAGGGAAGGGAATGATGCAGAGAAGCAACTACCAGATGCACCGTCTCTGACAGATGAGATAAAACGTTTGTCCACTTTTAAAGTATCGAGTAAAGTCAAAGGGCTTGATTTAATTATAGGCAAAGGAAACGAACTCAGAGTTAGTAATAGTATAATCAAGTAATGTAAACTTGCTTTGAAGTCGAATTAAATTTGAATTTGTTCATTTTTTTATGCAGATATGCGTTGGAGTTAACAATAACTCAATTGAATTGCATTCTCTGTGTACGAATACGAAGGATGCTAACGTGAATTGTTTACGTTCGTTAACGGCGCATGGACATCGCACGGACGTGCGTGCTCTTTGCTTCAGTTCCGATAATTTGGTATTTGCTTCCGTTAGTGGAGATTCAATCAAACTGTGGAACAGGTAAGATGGAAGTTATTACGTATAAATATATTAATAAAATTATTATATATTAATTAATTTATATAATTAATAAACGTTAATTTTTTTAATACATTATAATTTTTTAGACCCACGTTAGCGTGCTTACGCACAGTACAGTGCGGTTATGCTTTGGCGGTAACATTTGTGCCAGGCGACAAACATCTGATTGTCGGTTTAAAAGATGGTCATATGCTCATTGTTGATATTGGTACGGGCGATATTTTGGAAGAAATACCAGCGCATTCCAAAGAAATTTGGAGCGTGACGTTATTTCCTGACTCGGTAATATTAATTCCGACAAAAATATTATCTGGTAACTGTCATTTTAATTAATTTAAAACTAAACTGACACTTTCTTGCAAGTAGAAAGGAGTTGCCAGCGGCGGTGGCGATCATACTGTAAAATTTTGGAACTTCGAACTTATTCCGGATCCCAACAGTCAAGTAAGAGCAAAAGTGCTCTCTGTTGTACACATGAGAACGCTTAAGCTTGAAGAGAGCGTACTGTGCGTAAGAATAAGCCCGAATAACAAATTTGTTGCCGTCTCGCTATTGGACTGCACCGTTAAAATCTTTTTTATGGACACGTTTAAGGTACCATCTTGACGTACAAACATATAATTTTAAACGTCCGTTGTGTATCAGCATTTTATTGATTATCACATTTTTATTAGTTCTTCGGATCGCTTTACGGACACAAGTTGCCAGTGTTGTGCATGGACATATCCAGCGACTCTACACTTTTAGCGACTGGTTCCGCTGATCGCAACATTAAAATATGGGGTCTGGATTTCTGTGATTGTCACAAGTCCATATTTGCGCACGATGATTCCGTTACGGGCCTTTCGTTCGTACCTGGTACACATTATTTCTTCACTTCTGGGAAAGATGGCAAAATCAAGCAATGGGATGCCGATATATTCGAAAAGATCGTTACGTTACAAGTAATATACTATTTTGAATATTACATAGATTTACAAAACAATCAGTCACTTTAAATATATCATCATCAAAGGGACATTCTGGAGAAAGTTGGAACTGCTGTGTTTCATCGAACGGTGTTTATGTCGCATCGTGCGGTTCTGATAAAGTGATAAGGCTGTACGAGAAGACCGATGAACCTTTAGTGCTGCGAGACGAGCAAGAGGAAGAAAGAGCAGAGCAGGAAGATGAATTAGTCACTGGAGAGAGCACTGTGGTGTTGGGGCAGAAACAACAGACGTTACCTTCCAGGAAAACCCTTAGCAGTGAGAAGGCTGTGAGTGAAATCGATAAAACATGTAATATAACCGTTTTACATTGTGTCTAAACCCTTACTAGGCTGAAATGGTATTGGAATGCTTGGAAGTGGTCAAAGAATACGAAGAAGCATTGAGTACTTCAGGTATCAAAGCGCCACCGCTCCCTCTGTTGATGCAAGGTTATAATTGTAAAAATACCGAAGATTTCTTATTAGCGACTTTCAAACGTGTCAGAGCAAGGTAACGTAAAATGCGATGTTGTTATGACGTGAAAATGTAACTGGGATGTACATTTCAGTGAATTAGAAGAGACGTTGTTGATGTTGCCGTTTTCCGCCGCATGTGAGATTCTGCAAAAGTTACCGGTATTATTGAAAAGGAACGATCATTCGGAACTATTCGCCAGATTAGCCTTGTGCTTGATACAAGCTCATCACGGTCCCATCGTCGCCAATGGAAATCTTTTATCCACATTGGAGGAGGTGAAGATGCTCGCCATGGAAAAGATAACCACCCTGAGGGTGACAAAACTTTATTTACTGTATTTGCATGCATACCAACTAGACTAAAATTATTTATCGTTAATAAATCTATTTAATATATTTGGTATGTTTGTGCAGGATATTGTCGGATTTAATTTATACGGCATGATGTACATGCAACGTGTCGTCGAAGAAGAGGAAGGAATCAAACTCTTTAGGGATGCCACGAAAAATAGCAAGCAGAGAAACAAAATCAGAAGAAATAAGGAAAAGGCTATCAAGAGAGCAGTCATGAATCTGTAAACCTTGACGACTTTGTACATAAGTACAACTGATGATAAATAGTGCAATTTTTTATATCAATTACTTGAGTATAAGTAATACATTGAACAAGTAGCAACATATAATTCTACCTTTTTTCCCTCCTCTCTGTAATTCCAACTGCGGTAAATAGAATTCAGCGACCTCCATCGTGATACGGTAGAATATTCTACAGGACATATGTAATTTATCGGTCGGTCGATCACAAAAGAATAAAAATATTGCGCATCCCGATAAAAGTGTACGCGTATCGATGAGTTTACTGTTTTGTTAAATAATAAAGTATGTTCAACGACGGAGTCCGTCCGATATCGTGCTTTTCCAACTGGATGAAGCGCGAGTCAGATTGACCCACACATCTGTGTGTAATGTGTGTAAAATATCGCAACATAACCTTGTTAGTATGACAACACGAAGCATGGCCCGACTACCCTTTGCTCGTGAACGAAGGTAGAGGATGGATCACGAGGACGAGTTTCTCAATACTTTCTTCACGTTAGTTGCACAGCTGTGCTCCGACAAGGCTAAGGAGTCAGTTGTAAGTAACGATTGTTTTGCACACATATGAGACTACATAAGAATATAAATATATTCTGTCGTATATATATTAAGACAATATTTATACGGATTTAATTCAGGAAAAAGAAAGGGAATCATGCAAGCAGACGCAGATGGGTCCATGGGGAATGCTTCTAATGCATTTACCGCAGATAGCAGTAGCAGAGCGTTCTTACGCAGACTTAGGCTTTCTTCATACAAAAAATAAAGGTTTCCTTAGAAAGGATGTATGTATTCATATAGTAAATGTCGCAATCGTTTGACGATCGAAATATGACACCGACTATTATTCACAGAATTCCTTAAAAACTGTATATGAATCGTTGAAGTCTGACTTAAAGAGACTGGAGGAAGTAACTAGAGGGACAAATTCCATTGGCGCAACCGTCGCAAATGTTTCCAATCAGCTCTGTCAATTCATCATGGCAAGAATCCAGCTGATAGATTTGTCAGTATATTAATGTTCCAACTTTGTATCTCTAATCTCACGTGATGTTATTATGTTACAGCTATGAGAAAATGTACAATATGAGTATAAATAGTAAAGTTATGAAGCACCAAGAATTGCTGCAGTATATAGAAGGAATAGTGGAATGGCATTTGTTATCCTGTTCTCACTTAGCATTGGCCGCTATTAAGACAGGTTTAACGTAAGTACGTTTGCGCCATCTTATTCAACGACTTGAGTTATAAGCTCTTTAATATGTCGTTTGCAGAAAGTTAGTAATTCTCTTCACTCAGGTTGGAGTGCGAGATATTAGTACAATTAATGAAGGCGCAGGTTGAGGTGCAAAACTGGAGATTCCTACCGACCCTGATGGCTCTCTATGGTGCGCAAACACGAATGTCAGCCTGGGAGAGGACTTTGCAGAGCAAGGAGGTAGAATCGAATGGAAAGCACACAGAAATGTCTTATTCCTAACGCGAGACTTGCTTACAGTCCTGGAAATTAGGCTTTGGCGCGACATTTCTCAAAGCGAATCAACAACCAGCATTGTATCAGTGGTTGGTGAAACTTCGCAGTGCCATATTAGCTAAGTGTTCTTTGTATTTTCACACTACTCTAAGCCAGCAAGCTAGTCCCGGAGAAATGAGGAGTATAATGAGCAAGCAGAATGGAGATTACTATCACAAGTAAAATATGAATATCATTTTGTTGCTCTTGCATAGTGTGTACAAACAGTGCTGACAGATTGCCTTTTTCAGAATGCAAACTTTTCAGCGGAAGCACGACGTACTAGCGGTACTGATCATTTTCGATTCTAGAGGAACTGAAGACTCGGGCTCAGGATATAGACATCCGGCGAGAGGAGCGGATTCATCCGAAAGTTTTCCCATCGTCGTTTGTTGTCCCGGTGTAAATCGATATTTTTTTATTCATCATTATAAACATATATATTTATTAATAGTCGTTTTGAGATGCAGCATTGTTAAGGCACGAAGCATAGCATTGTTTTCTCAGTTAATATTCTTTTTAGACATTCACACAGAAACGCTCGGTACATTTGGATAATATACAAATCAAGATAAAAGAACGTCAGTCGGAACTTCTTGCTATGGATAAAGTTATTTACTATAAAAGCATGAAGGTACGGTGATTAAGAAATAATTTTGTAATACAAATAGATCAATTGAATTGCATTATAATCAAAATATGTCGATAGGATTTATGTACGTATGCTTTTCACAATACCGATCCTCGAATGACTCTTGTGGTCGTACTCGAGAACGGGAAACAAAGAGACAAAGAAACTCACATTACGTCGTTCTTGACGGATCTCTCCATGCATATCAGATGTAATAAAGTATACGAGTGTCTGAAATTGTCAAAGTGAGTGACCATAAGCAGAAAGATACCTACGAAAAAAGGGAAAAGAAACCATCAGATCGTACCAAAGACCTGAATATATTATAATCGAAAAATTATTAAAAAAACTTTATGGCATAGTTATATAAAGTTATAAATAAAATGTATGTTACCGTTTATATTAATTATTTCGAAACTTTTCGACCTTGGTACCTACAAAAAAATATCTTAAACCAGTTATTATCTAAGCAAGATTAATTTTAAGTTTATAAAAGTAAAAATAAACAATAGCTGATATGCAATGTATGAAAGTTCTTGCACAAATTTCCAACTTATCGGAAACCGTACATCTACAATTACTGTGCATCTATGTACGGTTTCAGGTTGGAAATTTATTTCCCTTTTTAAGCCAGCGGTAGACGATGCTTGTTTTCGTGCTGGATTGCTTGTTGAATGGAAATATTGTATTCTGATTGGTGCAATTCCCAAAATGGATGACAATATACCAATCAGAACGCAGTATCTCCATTTAGCAAGCAATCCAACATGAAAACGAGAATCGTGTGCCGCTGGCTTTATTCTCTGTTCCTGTTGCCTGGCATTGTCCAAGGACTTTTAGGTGTACAAATAAGTTCGATGCCTTTACTTTTAACATTTTGTAATTCTGGTTCAAATAAACATTTTTTCTTATTCTATGGTGGTTTGAAAGTGCCAACTTGAAGCTTTAAGAAGCACATTAAACTAAATATATAACAAACTGGAATGAGCAAAAATAAGATTTTCCTTCACAATTTGCGGGGAAAAACCCCTATTCCCCTTTGTATCGATATTGTATCACCCATAGAGATATAAGAATAGAGGGAACAAGGGATATATGCTACCTGTAAGTGGAAGTGATAGAGGCAAAGAGAGAGATGGATGCCGAGTGTCCTATCTGTCTCTTTCTAGTCACGCGCTGGGATTGGCTGCCGCGCCAACGATGATATAGCTATACATTTTTCTCCATCCAATTCAAAGAAACTGTCATTGCTAAAATGATCACTGCAAATATATGCTGTTTTTACTTCAAAATACAAAGGTAGTTGAAGTATATTCAACCATTTACGCCTTATATCTACATCCTTCGGTAGCCTACAACATTTACATATTTTTTTAAATGTAGGAAAAAATAACATATAATTATTTGAGGTTACGTATTTGTACTTTCTTACGAGTGAAAACTGCGGTTATATCCAGGATAAGACTCCGCCTTGCATTTCAAACAATGCCTCATTTTTAAACAAATCGCGTCCAATTATTATTTTGTTAACGTTCGAATATTTAACGAATTTTAATTTTACACACATGTGCACGCATATTTACAAAACGAAATTTTAATCTGCTTTCTCCCCTCCTGACGTCGCGTGGTCGTCTTGGCGGCTCATTGTAACAACCAATCACAGCGCTCGACTAGAAAGAGACAGATAGGACACTCAGCATCCATCTCTCTTTTGACCTCTATCACTTCCACTTACAGGTAGCATATATCCCTTGTTCCCTCTATTCTTATATCTCTATGTTACAATACCTACTTCAAATCTCACGAGGAGGTTGAAAGAAGCATTAATGACTTTATCGACTCAAAACCGCCATCTTTTTTTTTTCAACAGGAGATTTGCCAGTTGCCTGAAAGATGGCAGAAGTGTGTCGCAAATAATGGAGAATACTTCTAGGATTGACATGTAATTCGTTTCCTTTTTTTTTTTTTTGTAAATAAATGTCAAATTTATGTAAAGAAGGTGCCGAACTTATTTGTACACCTGATATTAGATAGCCGAATTGATATACACTTGAGATCGCACACTGATGCATCCTAAAATAAATAAATATTAAAAGTTGTTATATATGAAAACTGATTTGGAAACAAATGAATGATAACAGTTGTGCGATGAACAGCAATTGAAAACTTGGGAAATGTATTCGATTAAATGATGTTATACTAATAGCATTTATGTTATGCTTTGCACTTAGATAACGACTTAGCGTGTGCGGCAGCCATTAATGTGCGTGTGTGTGGAGCAGTGTGAACGATTGGTTTTCGTTCGCTACGTTTTCAGTGATTCAACAGCAGGTGTTACGATAATGATTTGCAAATCAGCTGATCGCTAGGTCGAAAATAAAGGAATAAAACGCAGGAACAGCTGGTTGGAAGTAACTTTAAAACAAGTATGGAAATTTGAAAAGCAGGTTAGGATCGCACGTTCGTCAGCGTAATTCAAATATCTACTGTGTACAGAGCTGGATCGTTCTGTAAAACATAATTTATATATATGTATGAAAAGATTTAAAATGTGTGATCTGAAGTTATTGCTCGTATTATTTGCTGAAAAGAAGTTCACATTTTTCTGTTAAATAACATTATCACACAAAGACCGGTTCGTCTCATCATATCAATATTTCCTCTCAGAACTTTATTTTTCTTCGTTTGTATAGTTATACCAATAATGGAATCGTCGAAGGAAGAAATACAAACCGACGCTGCGCTGATCGAAAGCTTGTCGGCGGAACAAGGCTCGAGATGCGAATCGCCGAAGCGCGGTACCACGTTATCCACCAGCACTAGTAGCTTCGAGGCTTTGGACCCGCACGATCCGAATCTGAGCCGTCTGGCGAACACTATGTTCCAGAAGACCGGCGAGTACCTGCAGGAGGAACTTACGGCCACCCACGCGGACTACAGACTGCTGGAGCGCATGAATAAAGAGACGATCGCCAAATATACGGAACTGAGGATCATATCGTCGAACGTGGTGCAGTCGTTGGACTCATTAAACGAGAAGTATCACAAACTGCAGCCGATTCTTGACAATATCAATCAGATTGACGATAGTGTCAGCAAGTTAGAGCAAGCTGCATACAAACTAGCGGCGTATTCCAAACGATTGGAAGCCAAGTTCAAGGACCTGGAGAAGGATATGAAGAGCAAATAGGGAGTTGTGTAATTATAGAAATATAAGGCTTATTGATGTGTAACTAAATGTAATTAGATCTTATATATAAATAAGTATTACTTAAATGAATAATTATAAAAAAAGGAAGAAAGCCGAGCAGAACAGTAAGATACTTCTTTTTTGTACAATATATTTATTAGTTTATGAAATCGCAAACACTTTTTTAGACTTCCTGTAAAACCGTGGTATCGCGCGTGTTCTTCTTTTACATATCACGTGAAATGTAAATTGTATCATTGACCTATCAATTGAAAAATTTATCTCATTTCACGCTTTATTAGGAGATGTTGACTTTTCCTCCTCACAATATGCTAGTGTACTATTGTCCGAACAATAATGATACAAATATAAATATAATTAAATGTAAATATCCAGAAAAGGTCGAATCTCGGATTTCTTTAAAAAGAAACATGTATATATTATATAAATATTATGTATACATATATATATGTGTATGTATGTATACATGTATATATATATATATATATATATATACATGTATAGATAAGATAGAAGATATAATGTTTCAAACTGAAAATATTCGGTGTTTTCTGAATATTTACTATACAACCAGACATAAACGGAGAATAAATAATTAGTACCTATATTTAACAAAAAAATAGTATGTTTATACATCGGACAATATTAATACAATAAAAAGTGTAATATCATCACCTAATGCAGTAGATAGGATTGATGATCTGACACATAATATGTAATTAATTTGTTCCTAGTTCCGTCAGTATTAATTTTACTAGTAGAGTATAATCAGAGTGCATAACAAGTGATGTGTATCTGTATTGATAATTCGTTATCGGCAATCGTTACATTTATTACAGTATTGTATTAAACACAAGACCTGACACATTACGTGGAATATTTAGGATTTGTTAAACTGTAAACCTGTAACATTGTGAGTCTTCATGTATGTATCATCACGCGATATTCCGTCGCACTAAAATGTCTAAATCGCGAATGCGAAGTGATCATCAGAAGCGATCATCAGTTATTATGCTTCGATACGATGTCACGAAATATCACAAATGCCGACGCAACCGAAACAATTTTAACAAGGAAAACCGTGTTTTTCCCGTGAATTGCCGCGATACACGCTACTTCTGTTTCTGGTGACGTTTAGCAGTCTAGAAAATTGCCGGCCATCAATAGCTCTAGCGCAATTTCAGGTGCAATGGGGAACTCTGGAATTTCCGTACTACTGTTTGTATAACGCACTTTATATGTGAAGTACATGCAGACTTTCTGTAAGACATGTGAGCTGCAAAAATAAAATGGATTAATATTTAATAAAGAAACTAAACCTTAAAATACTGATAAATTCTATAATTTAAAATCAAAGAGAGTTAATGTCATTTTTTCTCAAGATATAGATACATCAATAGAAAAGGTGATCATTTTCTGAGCTATGGGGATAAAATAGCCCACGTCTCTCGTTTACTTACGGGATTTCTCGGAAATTGACTTCATTAGCTTCGTTTTCCGCAAACTGACCAGGACCGCTTAACATTGCTTTGATAGTACCACTCGTCAGTGCATGTTCTCGTTTGACAATAAATTCGTGCCCGTCGCTGCTAACAAGCTTCACATACATTGCATTTGGTCCTTCGCAACCTCCGTAAACGGGACCACTCTCTTGCTAAAATTTTCGAAAGATCGATTATATTATATGTATCATATAAAAACAATTTTGATCATGTGTTGATGTTCTAGTGTACTGTACAATGTAAACTAGAAGCAACAAGGAAACAAACAGCAGGATAAAGTAAGAGGAATCGTTTCTAAGCAGCAGAATTTAATTTGCAGAGATAGGTACCGCATGCAGGTCATTAGACGATCTGCCTTCTTCTTCTTCGGTTTTATCGACACTGTCTTCCTCATTGGGCTTGATCCAAAGAAAGATTAGTATTAATCAATATTTCAGTTTTACCAATAGCTTTTTTCAGCTTTCCCGCAAAAAGCAATAAGGAATAAAATCTTAGTGTATAACAGCACAGTCCAACATGTACGTTTTTTATTGTAGGAATACATTGTTACACATCCCGATCACCATGCGGAAATAAAAACATGCAACCAAAATTCTTCTGAGTATACCTTTTCAGCCTGCATGTTCACATCGTTTGACATGTTTGCTATTGATGTGTAAATATCCTCCTGAAACAAAGTAGATATAAATAAGTATATAAATAACATATTTAGCGGACAAAATATATTGGAAAATATTATTTACTTATACGGAATAAATGACTATAATGTACAAAAAAGTGACGTAAATACTGTTGTACACAAGGTTATAGGATTCAAGAGATTGTTACGAATATTATTATATATCGTGCGTGATTAGATATTTATTTATACAGTAAGTTTTCATCAGTCATCATATCGACGATAGGTTAAGTTGGATTATATGGGAAGTTAAATACTTTCATAAAACAAAGTGTTTTGCGCAAATCTATATATCATTTCGAAATTTTCAACAAGATTACTTCTGCACTTATATTCGCCACCGATAACGACTCAAAATGAGACAATTTGCTATTATTATCATCAGTGCGCTATATCATTGACGTTACTATAGTTAGACCTCTCATTGGAATACTGGCTAAGTTTTTCAGTTCAGTATGAATCATATTTTGTTAACACATTGCGCAAAATAAGTGATACTACATACCTTACGGGGAACAAATTTTCAATAATATCAGACTTTACGATCACAGTAACGTTTGTCAGCAAACGTATCAATTTATTAATACGGCCACTGAGTGTTGGAAGCTATGATACGATCTCGATTTGTCAGTAGAAACGGTGGTGACTCTTGCGGAGACCTCGGAAATAATAACAGATCACTTATTAGATTTTCAAGTGGTACATTTAAAATAGAGCAGGCGATTTTTGTTTCTCAAGTAGTATAACTCGACAATAAATCAGAGACTTTTCATTAATTTTTTAAAAGGAAGAAAATACACCGTTATCTATAAATCGCCGTCTCTTCTCTGCCTTCGAATCAGTCATTTTAATTAAAATTGAAACAGAAATGATATAAAAAGAGTCAAATTGCAGGTCTACTTGTATATATTTACAATAAATTTTATATATATTAGACAAGCGAATAACCTATCAATTAATCTTTAAGCATCGTTTCAATCATTTCTTTTTTTTTTGTGATCATCTTTTGCCGGAATTACAATTAACAAATTATAAGTAATAATCGGTCAATGGAACAATATATAGTAAAATCATACAATATAAAATAGATAAATCTTATTTCACAAATGGCCATTGTTATGTGTGTGTCACGCACGACCACACGACGTGCTTTGTTCAATTTATTGTTAATTCTAGTCACTATTGGATAATCACATTCTTTTATAATAGCAGATATTTTTTTAAAGATATAGTTATCATATGGTACATTTTCAATGTATTGTTTTTGATTGATTGTACTACTATATTAGATCATGACAATAACAGAAGAAAACTAAGAAGTCTGTTAATAGTTCGAAATACAAGTTAATAATTTGCAGTACAAAATCCACTATATACGGATAATGGTTTGAAAAAAAAAAAATACTTGTGTGAGGAATGTGCAATATATTAAAGTAACACGATTTAATATCTTATTTATTACAAAGGAACTATAGAAAGAAATACATAGTAACTGTACAAATAGCACAAGAGATAGTCAATCTTCAACCAGAACCATTTACTTATGTCAAATGTTGCATATACATATGTATGAATGAATTCAGTCTAAACATTTTGTTGAACGACAAATAAAAGGCACTGGCAAGAATTGCTTCTCTTGTTTTCCTTTCTGCAATATACAACTTTTATTTTTTGCATTGCATCAAAGTATGGCAAAGTTTGTTTTTTTCTTGCATTTATATTTTGTCATAGAATAATTCTGCATTACTTCAAGATGTATTCCACATCTGTTGTATTTATGACAAGAACAGCTTTAGGTATTCGAGTAATCATCGCACCATTAAACATTCTGACTACGCTCGACTTTCCTCTTTTCTGAATTGTCTGTCGTCAGCATTTTAACATACTTGTAAATTAGTCACATTGATTTTCTATAACACCGACAAAAAACAGCGTAATTATTTGCGCTCGATGTTTATAAATATTTATAAAATAGCCCTAACAAATTTAACTCGCTATTGTAAGTCTCATACATATTATCAATAGTACATTGGCATAGCGGTAAATCTAGCTATTATGGTTTTTTGTCACTTCACATCCGAAAACTGTGTAGGAAGCATATATGAAAGCATATTTAAATTGGTCGCTATTATCGGCGTCATTCACGTAAGAAAGTCCTGGAAGTACGTTCATAGGAGAAACGCGTCACAAGATGAGTTGTGCACGCAATTCCCCACTATCATCAGCAGTTCTCCACTGTGAACTAGTCGTGCCGTCCGATGCCTGCTCATTATCTAAGCATCCAGCTTAAGTAATGGCCGTCTAATTGATTTTCGGGATTGTCTCTTATCTGCACATCATTCAATTCTTGAAAATTGCGAACAGTCCGCAGTTCCGTGAAGTTATTATTCACTGAATGGCCATGCGTTCTCACCTCCCTTTTCCTAAGAGCGTCTTTCACTAATCTTTGCCTACGTTCCTCTTCTGTCTCGATAGCAGACCTTGTAAATCTCATTTCCCTGGCTCTCAAGGCGTCCCTCCGCAATCTCTCTTTCCTCTCCTCTTCTGTCTCCTTAGCATATTGATTCAGTCGAGCTTCTCGCCTCTTCGCTGATTCTTTGTTCAGTCTCTCTCTTCTTTGCTCCGGCGTTTCGCTCGCATACAAGGACAATCTCTTGACTCTTCTTCTTTCGGCCTCACGATCCAATCTCTTCCTCCTGTCCTCCGGTGTCTCGTTATACATCCTGTATTCTCTTTTCCTCGCTGCCTCAGCGTCGAGCCTCTTCCTCCGTTGTTCCGGCGTCTCGTAATACATTCTCATTTCGCGCCTCTTCGCCGCTTCCTTCGCTAATCTCTGCAAACGTTGCTCCTCGCTTTCTTGTTCGTATAACTTCCTCCGTTTCTCTCTCATGCACTCAGCCTTTTTTCTCAATCTCTCTCTGTAATCCTGCACAGCGGATTTTAGTCTAACGTGTTTCTTAGCTTTCTTGGACACCTTAGTTTTCTCTTCCTCCAGAATATCCCTGGCGTCTGTTAATTGGCCCCTGCGTTTCGTTATTGTGACTATGCTAGTGTCAACGTCAATGGGAAATTGTATGTTCTGCTTGGTATCCTTCAATACTCGCAATCGTACGCTGGCGTCATTATCACTGTCGCACAACCATTCAGCAGTATATAATGTGCCCTCCTCCTTCTTTATGTTGAGATTAAGCCCGTCCAGGAGTTCATTGGGTATTGTCACTGTGGAGATATTGTAATTGGACGCCTGTATGTGTTCATCATTCCTAATAAACACTTCTGTTGTACTCGGATGTTTTTGAAATTCGATATTTATGGAATCGGAGTCCAGGGTGTCCAAGTAAATCGGATCCGTTAGTACATTAGTAATGGTGCTGCTCTGTATATTACCTAAAGTAGAATTCGTCGTGTTTGATTCAGTCGTTTCATTTCGCACACAGTGATCATCGTCGATTATCTTGTCGTTAGTTATGTTGTAGCTCTTGGTCTCCTTGATCTCGATAGCACAAAAATGTTGCGCTGCCGTGACTATTTCCACTTCATTGAGGTCCGTCTCAGGCTCATTGTTCTCCCGCTTGACGTACACTGAGATCAAGTCTGTTGGCTGTTGGTTTCCTATATCTTGTGCATTGCTTTCAGATATTTCCATGTCCCCTCCAGAGACACTAAAATTACATAGCAAACGAATCTTTGCAGTGTTTTGGAGAACACATTGCTCAAAACAATCGAAGGATCACACTGATCATAGAGACTATTCACTTAAATTAAGTAGTAAATATTATAATACCAAGAGAAGTGAATAATTGAAGCATCTACTTGGAGATATTCGAAGAAACGATTGTTTTGACCGATATATAAACGGAAATATTTGCAATATAATGAAGCGAATTTCGTCTCGTTGTTCTGATTATCAACGGGATTAAGACCTGATTAATCACGGCAGGTATCCTCCGTACCTGCGTATCGTCTGCTTGACAGCTGATTCAAGATGGCAGCGTGGATGGCACTTTGGAGTCGTGCATTTCTGCGTTATCCATCAGCATCACGCACGATGCGATCGTTCCTTTCTGTCCTTACGTCACATGGTAATGCTGTGAGCCGCGCGTAAACTCAGTACTTGTCGAATTAACTGCGCGACCCTACCCGAAATTCATTCGAACGTCGAGCGCAGCCCGTCCATCCACGTCCTTCGTCATTGCTAAAGCGAGAAGACTAGAGAGCGAACCATAGAAATTGTCTCCAGAAAGAGCTACACACTCCGATTGGCGCTGCAGTCTTTGCATTCGCAAAGGAAATTGAGTCGCCCTAAAAATCAAGTATGGCGGAAAGAAGCTTTATCGCAGGGCGCGCTATCGTCGATCATTTTTTGTGCGCGCGCTTGGTAAACGGTATGGTACATAGTAGCCATGATTTTACAAATTTCCAGAGCAAGTTCGAGCGTGTCTGCACGTAAGTTTCGATCAACCCGAAACAGAAATGTCGTCGCCCTTGCAGCGACAATACCTCTCTCGGTGTTGTAAGATTTTGTTTAACGAGATGTACCCATCATATTTAGCAGAATCTGCATGCCGAGGTACGTTCATTATCGACTTGTATCTGCTACGTATGCCTCAATAAGATATTAGGGATAAAAGAGGCTCTATCAAATTGAAAATTGTGAGTTAGGTATCGCGCAGGAAAGGATCACTTAGCGCTAATGCCCATATAACGATGCGTAAACATCGTTCGATCATTAAGGGGTGCGAATCTGAAAGTCGCCCTCATCCCACAACTGGCCGGGGTGGAGAGAGAGAGAGAGAGAGAGCCCATAGAGGTGCTCATTCGCGATTTATCGGCGTATCGCATGTTGGTGAGGCGTTTCTTTGCACTGCGACGATAAACGTCTTCGCTTTTGGTGACGGGACGAGAAACGGTTCGATAGACTTATATAGCGCACGAATATGCCCCCGTCCACCCTGTATAAGTATCTCTCCTTATTGTCCCCGATCGAGTCTCCCCCCCGGTGTTCGCGGGCCGGTCGACGCTTTTTGCACGGGACGCGCTCGGGCGCTGTCCCCGATACACTACGTGCTCCGATAATTAAGACGTTTCCATTTGGAGTTGACATTTAGTGACGTGCACGCGACGCGACGGTCGATCCGGACGCGCGTTTCGGCGGCGGCCGCGCGACGGTCGTAACGACAGCGACGACGGTGACCGGGAAAAAAGTCGATCATTATGCATTGCGTTGGTAATTAATGGTGTATGATCGAGGATCGTATTCCTGGAAGGTTCGAGCGGGCAAAAAGCGCGAATATATATAATATATATGTATGTACGTAAGCGTGCGTGACATCTAGCCGGCGAGATTTATCGGTATTCGAGATAGTTCTCGGAGAATCGATGACCATTTTTAGACGTTTCGTGTAATTGGACGCGCAAATATCGAATGATGCACGAATTTTCGTTAAATAATCCAGAGAGCACGTGTTCATTTCATATACGTACTTTAAACGTTTCATAATCATGTTACGTGCGTTTAAAAGACATGTATGAAACTAACTGTGCTACCTGGAAAATTAATAATTTGAAATGTAAAATCCATTATATATAGATAATTGTTCTGGATTAATAATAAAATAAATATTGGTGAGGAATATCTTAGGTGCTTGAATTAATTCTCGCTGTTTTTTGCTACAAAACTCATGTTTTTTTTTTTTTTTCCGAAAGAACGATGCATCATATCTTATTTAAAGCATTGCCTTTCGGAATTTTTTCCCACTTTTCGAGTAAGTGCTTCCCATAAATACTTTTTTTCGGTACGAAACATCTTTCTCCCAACATCTTCAATAAAAAATTGTATTCTTTACACTACGATCTAATGTCATACACTGATTATTAAAGTGCCTATGAAATAGCACAACTACTGACTTCTATTAATCAACAGTGGGAATTAATTCAAGCACATAATATAATATATATATATATATAAATATATTAAGCCAGGCTCTACTGTGAAATGTATCTGATTCGAAATGTATTTCTGAATAATTAACGAACGTGAGAAGGTAGCGATATCGTAGCGAGAAAGTCAGTTTCCTCGTTGAAAATATTTCAACACACATTTCGGGCTACTGCGTTAGCTTTAATTTATGGGGCTTTACTTGTGATCGCACGAATCGTCAAATTCGCGTGCGGATTCAATCGGCGGGTGCGGAATGCCAATGCGACGGTGGCGTTTTTTTCTCACGACCGCTTGACAAAATCATTAGAGGACTAAATCCAATAAGGGGACGGTCGTCCGGCTGTAAGAAAACATTCCCGGTGAGGCGATCGGTAGCATCGTAATCGGTATCAATGATATCCCCTTAACTGTTTGCAAGACACGGCCGTCATTCAGCCCTGACGCCGCCTGTTTCCCGCCGTTCGTGCCGCCAAGATATTTTTCTTGCTCGTCGCTATTAAATTAGGAGGATTAAACCCCTAAATGAATCGGAGCGACGAAGCGACGAGCTTCGACGTGCCACGTGTCGAAACCAGTTCTAATGTCGGATTTTTGAAACATCGCATATAGATGAGAAAATCGGTGGTACGGTTAAATTTATACAGGCTGTTTGAAACCTTTCTTGGCATCTGTGGTATAATAGCAAATAGAACGAGTGAAACTGACTTGAAGAGTTATGTATCATTTTGCAAAAATTTGTAATACTTAAAGTGGAATTAATTAATCTGTATGAACTAATGAGTGAGTATGGGAAGTGATAGTTCGGGTCCTGTATGAAAGAAATTGCTTACTTGCGAAGATCTAACAATGGATATAAACTGATAGCGAGAGGTATATCTCTTTTCGGTGTGCAGCACCGTGTCATATACCGCTCGATGCTTCCTGCGTTACTCCGCCTCTAGAAATCAGTTGATGCTCATCGTTGCCAGATCTTCAAAAATAAGCAATTTTTCTTTATATGGAGTCCGGCCCATTGCTTTCTGCATGCGCTCGTTAGCTCATATAGATTAATTAATTTCTCTTTTAACTATTGTGAATTTTTCGAAATGATTTTTCTATTCAGTTTCACCTGTCCTACCTGCACATCACGGATCCCAAAGAAATTATCGGACACTTTGTGTAGCAGCTCGTAATAATTGTTTACGGATCTTTCCAAATACAATCGAAATAAATGATCATAGTAAGGCGGTTTTTTACAAAATATTTTCGGACAACGAAAGTTCATCATTATGTGAAACACATCGAGGATGTGATATATTTCGTACACAGCTCAGTTACCCGTGTCCTTACTTACTTCGAATAAGCTTATTCGAGTAGAAATTAAACGAAAATGAATAATTAATCAATCAATGAATTGTTCTCGACCGTCACATTTATCGAGATTAATTCGCGAGTCGCGATGATCGTTATTAGCATGACATAGCGCATGATGTTGGCGTCGAGATTTCGGCCCATCTTTTGTATTTCACAGGGCCAGACACTATTAGTTCTGTAGAGGTTCCACGCATTAGTCCTTTAGGATCATAAAACGCGGTAATAGAATGCCGCACAGAGTAACGATCAATTCAGATTGTCTTTTCTCGGAAGCAGCTTCTCTGATCGCGCGCGTTACGATGATACGCATTATTATCGCGAATGCGCGGTCCAGCCATTCGCGCGAATTTCTTAGGATTTTACGATCGCGTGTGTGTATCCTCGAACAACGTGCGATTGTACAAGCCGTGCGCTCGAAGGTTCTTTTCAATCGGGACGGCTTTTATTGCACGTTTTCACGTTAATATTAATATTAATTTCATTTTCATTCTCGAATTATACTCTATTTCTTTTCGCACGGCTTTTTGCATTTAAGAGCGCGAAATCTCGTTCGGCCCAAATTCCCGCGATCGTTCTTCCGTCGTGTCTTCCTCCGTCGATCGCATTTTAATTCGCGCCTTTCGGGCGAGATCGTCGACACGCGTAAATTGTGGATCGCGCTCGCACAGTAGAAACGGAGACGAACGGTGAAGTCGGACAACGCACTTACACACGGAGAAACACCGTTGGGGGTGGGGGGAGACGCAGGTACAAAACACACCGCTCGTTCCGCGCAGAGAAGAAGCCACAGCGAGTATAATGGATATCTTTATTATCGGAGCCGCGAGTCGAACCGAGACTTCGTGAGACCTCGGTGAAGTCGACAATAACGACAGCGTCCCGACTTCGCCGGTGCTGACTCGGGCCCAATTGGCCCCACCGGCCGCCCCTGTCCGGCTCCCCTCGTGGCATAAATATTGATGAAAACGATGCGTTTATACGCGAACAAGTCCGTCCGCGGTTAAAAAGCCGGAAGATTTATCGGGACGCGGCCTGCCGACGACAGCCATTTCCGAGCGGATCGTACATCAAGTTCCAGTGAGTTCGGATCGCGAATCAGTTTCCGCGCGTCCGAAGTGGTCAAAGCTTTGAGCTTTCGTTCAGGGTTGAACCTCTGCGAATTTTACTGCGTATCTCTTTTTCTTTTTCATCTTTTACCTTTTCTTTCACCTTTTTCAACTTTGAGAGATCTACCTTATAATTCGCACATGCATTTCGAGTCGAAATTTTGATGCTACTTTGACGTTCTTAAGGATAGAGTGTGCCTAATTAACTGGTCTACAGATAAGTAGAAACCTACCTCGACAGCACTGAAACTTATTAACTTCTCTCTTGAACCTTTAATTTTACAGATTTAATTTTAACTTTATCTTGAACAACTTATCCAGTAAACACTAATTAACACAGTAACGTTGCATCAATATTTTAATTTCTCATTTATCAATATAAGTATGATATAATATACATATGTACGTAACAGTTACATATATTTAAATAAGAAATAATAATAATAATGTAACATTCTTGTTAATTGGTGTTTTGTTGGATATTTTTATGCTAAAACAGCGAAAACGGAAATTCAAAACACTTGGGATTGGAGTCAAAGTAGGAATAAATTACTTTCTGTTTAAAAAATACCTGGAATTATTAAATAAAACACACAAATTGATATTTAATCGGATAAATTTATTTGGTCTCTTTCGAAATAGCCCCATTCTTTGCAACACACATGTGCCAACGTTTTACCTATTCTTCAAAACATTTTTCGTAAGCCGATGAAGGTATGGCCTTAAGCTCCTTCAGCGAATTTGTTTACAGCCTCTGTCGACTCAAAACGCTTTCCTCGAAGCGGTAAT